GCCGAATAATCCACCCACAAAGAACTTGTCTAAGACCTGAACACCGAAGAAGAGAAAAAGTTAATCAGATGTTCACTTTATTATGTCATTCCTTGCAAACATTGTGCAATTACGTCAGTTGTTCAGGTGTTGAACAAAAATTGATTAGGAAATATTTCACACGCAAAGTTTTCTGGATTAAATTTTATATATTTTTATATTTTGTGTGACCCTTTGGTCTCACTTAGTTCCTTTGATACACTATACAAATTTTTTTTTAACATGTACCGTACATACATGTACACAAAGTGTAAAACAAAATGTTATTTTTTAAAGAAAATTGAATTATTTGGAAATGTACATTTATGTACAGAATTATGTAAAAACAACATTTACTTTGCGCAAAAGATGAATATAAATAAAATAATAACATAATTATTCGCACAAATTCATGGCACAAGATACAAAACAGAGTTAACTAAAAAATAAATGCATAAAAAAAAAAAACGTATGTACATGTACAACGATTGACAGAAACAAAAATTAAGTCAATTGACACAGATGTCATTAATTATTATCAGTGTCTTTAAAAATTTCACACGAATAACGCCATCTCTAACATTAATCATGTCCTGTTTAAGGACAGAAACATTTGATTGTGTACTTAGTGGTACACATTCAAACCATTTATTTCGAGAATCCTTCAGTTCAATAAAATTGTTACAAAACACTGTTCAACAAGGATTGCATAATGACTCACTGGCTACAGACTTCAACAAAGAGGCTGAACCAGATTTTAAAATTGCATTGCTAAAATTACAAAACCTACCCTGGAGACTGGTCTCCAGAGGTGGAACTGTAAGAGATCAAGGCAACAATGTCACAATGTGTCATACATGTAGGTTGCAGGCGCCAGATTTTCTTTTTAAAAGCCTTTCGCCATGCAACACAAAGAGCACTTACATTAACAACTAGACAAAAGCCACAAAGCCATAATGAATGCGAATAAGTAATGTTCGGGTTTCAACTTGGCTGGTAGAAGCATTAACACCGAATGCCGAGGAAATCTGCAGGTACATAGTGTTCAGATTGAAATAACATTGTGTCTAAGTTTGACCGAGTCTGACTGAGTCTGACAAGTGTACATGTGTACATGTACCGGTACATGCATTTTTCTTTATTTTAGTGCTTCCTTTTATGGGCGGTTCATTAACTTTCACTGTATAAACATGTACATGTACGGTAGTTTTCAATTCTGCTGGTTGCAATCAACTGCGCAAACATCTAACTTGCACCAAATAATTTGAAACTAGTGTAATGTCAAAGCTGTGCTACATGTAGCTTACAGTTACAGATATATCTTTGGTTGAAAACAAAATTAACCATTTTAAGAATGCTTTTCAACACAATTGTGCCTTTTTATTGTCCATTATGCTGATAGTAACATTCATGCTTTCTACATGGATTTTTTCACCATTTCCAGGAAAAGCGCTCCAAAACCAGCGCAGGATGTCGAAAAAAATATTTCAGTTTTTCAGAGTGAATATCTAATTTTACATAAAAATGTATGCAAACAATGTTTTTCAAATGTGCTGATATTGATAATATTGAAATGATATTGAAAACGACCTGATTTTGCTGCTGACAATATTGGTTACATGTTATAGGTCGAGCAATTCTAAAATATTTGTAATCAATTCCGATGCCATACAAAGGGAAAGATCCACTTGGATTCCAATCAATTTCCCTCCATCAAAAAAGATTTGAAGAAAAATCCCACTAATTTCACTAATTAAAGAGGTTGTGGAATGCTCGAAGACATTTCCGTCATTTTTCGGGTATATGTAGCCAAAGGTGTAGCCAAAAACGACAATGTGTCTGTCATGAAATGAGTACAAAAGGTACTTTTGAGAGCTGTTTTTCAAGTCATGTCATGCCTGTTTCGACCCAACGTGCAATTTGTGTAAAAGTCGTCGTTGCGGGCAGCAAACAAAAAAACACTAAATTGTGACGTAATAAACAGGACTCCCGATGCAGAGTAGCATAAACAAGTCCTGTTTATTACGTCACGATTTACTGTGTTTTGTTTGCTGCCCGCAACGACGATTTTTACACAGTTGCCACGTTCGGGGCGAAACTGGACCTGAAGAACAGCTCTCAAAAGTACCCTTTGTACTCATTTCATGACAGAAACAATAGTCGCTTTTATTTCATCACACCTTAGGCTACATATACCCAAAAAATGACGGAATGTCTCGAGCATTCCACAACCTCTTTAACAAATACTGAATCACTACATACAGCAATATTTTACAGGTGTTACATTCTATATCTTGTAAACATGACAATTTGCCGCACAAATGAGGACATACACAATGTATGTCCAGTGAAATACCGGTAATATTTGTTTTGGAGTGTCTGGAATCTATTCTTGAGAGAATTTAATTGTTACTTCTGGGAATCGATTCCTCACCAAAGTGGAATCACACTTCTGATTCCAACTTTGAAATCGATTTTTATTTGATTGCGACCTGAAATCACCCAAGCCTATTAACTAAGCCCCTGGATCAACACAACGATTTAAATGTTGTGTTGCACATGCCAACTAAAACATGCACAATTGTTCATTGTACCAGATTGAAGTTAGTGCTGTAAATGGATATTTTTGCAGAAAAAAGTGCAAGTTACATGTACATGTACATGTGCATTTGGGTAAACAAGGAAACTATTATTGCAGATGCAATATTTTATAATTTATCTGCAATCTGCAATATTTATCAGCAAGTTATTGCAGCAGAACTTGAATGTACATGTACATGTACATGTATGTTCATCCCTTGGGAAGATGAGTTCAGTTGCTTGCCCACAAGAAATGACACAGTAATAGTAATAAATCCTAAATGACAGGACGTCAAATCCATGAACATGTAATGCCACAAGGTGTTTTGAGTATGATTTTCCTCAATAATGTTCAAAGACCCAATATGACTCCACAACTGAATAATAAATCAATGTTTTCCCTACCTCTGGTGGTGTCCACTGATTGGCAATGTAATCCACATCCCAGCGTTTACGAAACTCAACATGCTGAAAAGATAAAGCACAAAAAAATCTAATGTTTATCTAATAATAAATCAGAGTTTAATATAGATATAGGTAGTCCCAAACACAACAAAACCTTTAATCACTCTAGCAATCATTGAGATATCTCTCTCAAATTAAAATCCTAACAGAATATTTCTGAATGTAATCAGTAACGTTACAAACGAGCAGGAAACAATAGTGTGAATGAACATTTTGGCAGAAGGAAAATACACAAAATAGAAACAACCACTTCAAAAAAACACCAATTCATATCTGCTCTGGAAATATCAATTTTTAATCAATATTATCACACTTTGATCCCAAATATAGAACAAAAAGAAAGTACGCAGGCATAGATACAGTCTGAACATGTATGTAAAACTAGCCTGACATTATTTGTTATCTTCCATGTTTTATGTACCGGTAGTTGTCATGTATTTTTTTTTTATCAAAAACAACATTTTGAAACAAAAGCTCTATTTTGAAATGGAATAGGCCTTTGAAAGTGATTCATTTTCTTCCAACTCTAGGACAATATGCCAAACACCTGTTATGTCAGTCATGCTTCATGTGTATTTATGTAAACACAGACCAAGGTCTGTGCTAAAAGAAACCAGCCTACTGGTACTGCCGTACATGCCGTACATGTACACTTCACACATTATCATTCCCAGTTTTTTTACTTTTACCAATCATAAATATTTGACACAATCTCATTAACATCTCCATTAGTGGCGATAATATCAGGGCTGTCTGGCTGGATCACTGGGGCTGAACGCAGCCTAATGCAGGCGAGGAAACGTCGTAATGAATAATAATTCCTGGGAAGATAAGGGAGTCCAGGGATAAAAAAAGCAATTTGTATATTTCAAGGCCGAGTGATGGTTAAATTTAAAAAAAAATACAGGGTAAATTTTCTGTGGATGAAATATAAATTTTTAAATGTTGCCTTATTTATGGATTAATTTTAGGCCTCTGTTTAAAGTATTTATAGAAGTAGCATTTATAGAATAGAGTTTTTCTTCTCAATTTGTGAGTTGGTCTTAGAAACCAGTTGAGTAGAAGTTTCTGCATGTGGTTTGAAGTCACAGATCAATCCAGTCAATTAATAGGTACATTGTATCACAGTTGACCACATATCATTTAAAATCAAAAAGAGATTGTTTGTACATGTAGGGCCTATGTAATGAAGAGTAGAACTACCGGTATGAGAACGCATTTCTGATAAGTACAGTGAATTTCAATTTCTGACAATACATGGTAAACATGAAGACAGAAATTTTCACAACATTGGGAGTTTTATGTGATAAGGCACTTGTGTCATGGGGCTTCTAAACTCAGAAAACATTTGCAGTAATAGCGGACACAGACAGGAGTGCTGTGGCCTTGCGGTCTGGAACATTGCATCCGTAGTCTGCGGGTAATTCTGCAGGTTGTGGGTTCGAGTCCAGCCTGCGGCTATAGTGGGTGTGCCCTTGGGCAAGACACTTTGTCACTCATTGCTTCTCTCCACCCAGGAGTAAATGGGTACCTGTGAGGGCAGAGATGGCTTTTGTGGTTGATTTTAGCTGCTTTGCTCCGAAATGGCAGCATTGAGCTGTACATGTATACTCCCCAGTGAGTTGAGATGGCATTTGGAATGTTTCACTGGCCCAACGAGCAGGGAAATAATGATGTACATTGTACATATAGCGCCTTGAGCACCAATACTGGTAGATACAGTATGTGCTTTATAAATACACACATTATTACTATTAGCAACCAAAACCTGATTTTCCTCTGTGCACGTCTGGACAAACACATTTAACAGCTAGCTGTGAGTGGGTCTGTATATTGGTCTGACTGGCTCACTGGTCCTGTGTCAGTTACGCACAATGAACCATTTGCCATATGGCTGTATTCGGGAAAACAAGTACTCGTGCTCATACTCGGAAGTACTCATACTCATACTCGAAGTACAAGTACTCATACTCAGTGACCTGTACTTATACTCAGAGGTACAAGTACTCGTACTCGGCAACCTACATGTAAGTACTCGGCAATACTCGGTACTCGGAAAGAGTACTCGACTACAACACTGCTAATGTACAATGTAGTTCATTAACATTTCAACCGTTCTACGTTCAATCAAATTATTTCCTCTGAAGACGAATCCAATTGTCGTCAAAGGTGCTAATAACATCAGCCAATCGTCCTTGGAGATAATGGAGAAACCTTAACAGGCTGCGACCCATTATTGGATATCAAGTAGCGCCCGGCAATCATGACAGAACCAGACAGCATGAGGGAAGGTCATTATAATCAGAGTCATACTTTCACTGCAAATTAACCGTACGGTCAGAGCCAAAAATCAATCCTGGGAAATGTCAGACATATAAATTACAATGGATGCTGATCCAAAAGAAAGGGGAAAATAGTTCGAAGATGCGACTTAGTTTGAGGGGCTACATTTGTTAGAATCAATGCAATTATAATGGCAACTCCTTTAAAAAAAAAGATGGTACATAAAATGAGGTTTTCACATCGCTGCACAATAACAGAATTGGAAAATTACTTACATCTCGGAGCATCTTTTCTGATTTCTTGAGATCAAACTTGCGAGCTGTAAAGGGTGAAATAAAATAATAAAATGTGTGATTTTGGAAATCTGCTTCCTTGAATGACAAATAAAAATGTATTTTTCGTCAGGAACTTATTGCTGTTTGTACAACAGAAAACAGTGGCATAAGAGAAATGATAAAGATTTTTAAGAACGTACCGGTACGCACTTATAGCCTACTTATTCCAGATTTGAATTTGGGACACATGCAGATTTTAGACTTACAATTCCATAAAACACATTTTAAAATTTTACACCTACAATTTTAGGGTCGGTAATCGAAAACACAACTATGTTTTTTTGGACATGTGAAAACATATTCTGGTCAGTTAATATTATGGTAATCACCCTTACACACACACAACATGAACAGCCAATGTTGCTGTGATTTAAGTTGATGTAATGTACATATTGATCTCACAATTTTGAAATCATATTTAAGCTTTTATTGAAAGGCATTTACAGATGCATGTACGCCATATTTGTTAATTCATTTATTATTTGTCGCTGTATCTTTTCTTGTCCGGTTCGTCTGGTTGATGTCAATTTTTCCCATGTCATTTCGCTATTAAAAGAATGGCATAAAAGTGCCATACCCGTAGCGATCGATGGGTTTTTCGGTGTTCCCCCCCCCCCCCCCCCCTCTTTCAGTAATGCAAAAAGACAAAAAGCCGTTCTTTTCTTATTCTTTTTTTTTTAGTTAGTCACACATCTGTACAGATTATGCAAATAAAAACAACTCAATTGACCATTCGTTAAGCTGGTACCACTACCAGCACAATATTCCATTTTCCCAATGTTGTACAGTTCAGGGACCCTGTATTCTTTGCACAGGGGTTATATAACACTACTAGGACTAAAAACATGCATACAAGTTACGTTCATTTACATGTCTATAGAATACAAGGTCTTCTAAAGAGAAATGGAGAATTATTATTTATTTTTTTTTAAATTAGCAAAACATGAAACCATCTGAACCATCTGTTATTCATAGCCAATCTCTGCTGAGTATACATGGACATATATTCGGGGGGGGGGGGGGGGGGGGAGGGGGGATCTGCATCGTACATTATGCATTTAAGTACATGTATGTCACATTATTATCAAGAACTATTGTGAGGTTTTAAAATGAAAACCTATGCACAAAGTGGGTAAAAAAAAGGTTATCACGATATTATACAGTGTGTTGCTTCTGATTTGTGTTGATGTAAAAGAGAATGAAATTTGCATGTACATCACTGGTTGTTAACAAATACCCTCAGGCATGAAAACATAGGATCACTTCTAAGTTTAGTGGCAGAAGAAAGGATAATTCCAAATCAATTCCCATGACCCCCTTAGCAATTGAACTACATTCATTGTATTACACTGTATTACATTGTATTACTTTGTATCACACCAGTGGTGCACCCAGGATTTGGTTATAGGGGGTGGGGCTCACAAATTTGTTTTTCAAATTTTTTTAAAGATTTTTTTTTTTGGGGGGGGACCTATCTGGACGTTGGTGGTACCACTTACATGTACCCCCCTACATGTATTAAACTACTCGAAAATAGGCCACGCACATATCACCAAGGTCAAATCGTGGGACAAAAAAAATACCAAAAAAAAATTGACAACCTCGGGGGGGGGGGGGGGGGGCCTACTCAAGCACCCTGAGGCCGGACAACCACCCCCCTCCCCCCACCCCGGGTGTGCAACTGCATCACACTGTGTTGTGCTTCTTGATGAATCATCGGAATCACATAGGGTAAGAGGGGGTATTTTTGAAGGGGGGGGGGGGAATCCAACCACTTTCTATTAATCACAAACCTGGGGTCTGACTAGGATTGATCATGCTGCAAATCTGCTACAGAAAGCCTACCTTTGAAACAAATACCTGCTATTAAAAACCGGAAGTGGAAAAATCATCAATTTTGAGCAAAAACTTCAAGGAAAATGACGGACATATCATCGTGTTTACGTTGGAAAGATCTTGCAAATGATCAGTGTGCCCTCAATTTGAGATGGAGTTCATTCAAAAGTTGAGTTTCGCAATGCATATTTAAATCGTACGTATTCCTACGACAGAACCACAAGGCGGGAGTCTGTTACACGTTGTACATGTATGTCTTTTCATAACAAGCGTATTGTCATTGAAAATATTTTTCGAAAAGTTTTGCTTTTATTTTTGGGACTCGAGTCTTATCCTTCGCTCGGAGGGTCGAGTCGAGTCTTCTGTTGAGGGACTCAACTCGAGTCCAGTCATTTGCTCGCAGTGACTCTAGTCGAGTCGAGTTACCCATAGGGACTCCGGTCGAGTCGAGTCGCCAAAAATTATGACTTGAGTCAGAGTCATTACAACTCTGGCAACTGCCGGCAGAAGCATAACTTTGGAGGGGGGGGGGGGTAAGGGCACGCCTCCCCTACTTGAAGCCTGTCCCCCCTCCCCTTAGGCCCCTAAGACACACTGCAAACCCTGGCAGCCCAGGGTTTGGTGCGTTAACTCTAAATGACCAAAAGCATGGAGGACGTCACATGTCCCAGTAATGTAGACTGGTGCCTTACCTCTAAGCCATCGTAGTAAGTAATGATCATCATGCTCAGGCTTCAGGGTATCAGACACAGCTGAACGAAACTGGAATAAAATTGTTGAAACAGATTAAATCAATACCCTGACTATTGTTCACTGCAATAAAAAACAGTATAATGTGACCCTCCAGGAAAAAAAATAAACAGTCGGAAATCACACGGCCGTATTTTGACATAAAGCCTATAATGAATGAGAGTTAATTGATGTGAAGGGCATTATACTACACATTTTGTGGGCAAAACCTCTTTAGGAATTGTACTAAATGAATAGAAACCCATACATTGCTAAATTATTAGTATTCGAGCACTTTTAATTTTTTAAGGTAATGCCACACTCTGTGTCTTAACTTCACGGAATGAAATTAATTCGTTATAGGGGCTCATCTGGGGAAAAAAACCTGATTTTTAACGCATCATGCAGTGCACACTACGCTTAACGCAAAACAGACACATGGATTGTGGGGCTAAATCCATCAAATTTGGTCTGAGAACAAATTTCGTGGTCCACTTTTGCGACCCCTTAAATTCGAGCTGTTTGGATGCTAGTAGTGATTTCATTCCTGAAGTGTTCACCTTTTGCGAACGTTGAAGAAACCATTTTTTTTTTGCATTGGTGATTGGCCACCGCTGTTCCCCAGACACACAACATGTATATCGTACACTGTATGAGAACGACACAAAAAAAGGTATTCGTACTCCGTCGTGTCCGATGTAAACAACCAGGGATTTTTCCTCTTTTCCCAGGAACGGTAAGACATTAGCTTGGTTTCCTTTCAACCAGATGTTGGAAATAGGATAAGTAAACAATCCAAAACATGAAATTTTCGGGGATTTCAGGACCCAGTGCCCCTTTAATGGAAAACTGAATTTTGATTTTCAGTTATTTCCTTTGACCCATCCACAATTTCGAAAAAAATAACGACATTATTAAACATTGACTATTCTGAGTGGCCCCTAATACATTGAAAAAAAAACCCATGAATTTGGAACAGAAAAACCTCTTTTTCAATTTTGTGTTTACCTGATGAAGCTTGTGGAGCTGTTCTGCAGTCAACTGAGGCCTAAGTCCATTCATGGTACCTCCTTATTAATGCACTCCTATCCAATTGATGATAACGATTTTCTCAGCAGACTGTTCATTTGCCGATGCAAATTGAGTTCAGCTGTGAAATAGAACAGTGATAGTGAGAATATGCCCTAGAAAACATGAATATACACACAAAAAGATGGCTGCGTGTTTATGGTGTAAATTGAGGACACACACGTGCAACATCATCAATGAATTGAGGACAGGAACAAATCGAGGATGACCTTGATTAGAAAACGTTTACAAAACCAATAAGCTGTTGCAAAAAAGTTAGAGTATAAACAAAGGCAAACGGAAGAGGAACGATAGAAAATCCTCGATTTACACCATAAACAAACATGTCTGCACACGAACATATGTAAATGTTAACCAGCATTTTTCTGAGCTCAATGATGCTAAACTGGATAATTTTGTGGACAATAAAGATGCCTCCTGTATTAAAAAGTACTGGTAGTCCACAATGCGGTATAAACTAGTCTTAGGAGTTACTGTATTGCAAAAGAACTGAGCTTTTCTGAGGTTGAGCAATATTCAGCTGGTGAGCTGGACAAGTTTCTCCGAAGATTTTATGCCCGCGAGGTGCATACTGCAACAGGAAAATTTGGCACATGAATATGTATGAGGTACAGTAAAACAAATATAACATGGTTTATTTCGAGTGGATAGTCCATATTAGATCTCCATGGTATTGAAAGTTTGCCTTGGGAACTAGTCTGTCAACTTCTAATAGTACCTCAGGCAGCTAGTAATAATATCAACTATCCACCCTCAAATCTAGCCCGAGTAATTTATTAGGCCCAAGTTATCGCCTTTTTTTGTTTCGGCATTCGTACAGTTACGGGCCCCTCTTTAGTTTTGTACTGCTATCACACCAACTTTTGTTTAGTACTACTAAATCACGCCAGACCGTGTCCAACATGTCCAAAAGTTAAAAAGGCGATATAACTAAGGGCAAGTTCGCGCAAGGACTATAGTTAACCATTGGTCGACTAACGCTTGCCCGAACTCTGTCTAGTCGACGATGGTTAACTACGCTAGTCGACTTTTTGGAACCAACCTACTGAGGTTGGTTGCTTCGCTGGCAACCATAGCCGCACGCGTTCATATACAGCAGGGAGCCAGGATCCAGACGTTTTGCAATGACATTTTGACAAGCGTTCGACTAGAGACGTTCGCACTTTGCTATTAGTGCGCAGGCGTAAGGTACGTCACAAATCAACCACTAGTCGACTAATGGTCCTTGTCCGAACTTGGCCTTTGTTGGGCCCAAGTAAGACCCGTGAACGTGGCTTGTTGTAAACTACGCCATGCTCTTGTACCATTTCGATCCGAGCGAAATCGTCCTTCCGTTACAAAAACTGAACACAACTGTAATCAAGCTTTCTTGAAGTTGAACGAAATTCAAGGTAAAATCTGGCCCAAGAATTCGCAAGATCTCGACGTCCTGCAACCTCCTCCTGATGCATGTGATTTATTAGACTCACACCAACCTCTTCCCTAGTGCTTACATGTACTTTATTTCCAAACTCGTTTCCATTATACGAAGCAGGAAGTGGAGACGAGGTTGGATATTCCCCAACTGACGCAAGCGCATTGTATTATACCGTCTTATTTCCAGAGTTGTAACGAGTCACTGATTTTTGTGACTCGAGTCGAGTCGAGTCATTTTAAAGAAGTGACTCGAGTCGAGTCGAGTCATTAGGTCAACAAGGTCGAGTCGAGTCGAGTCGAGTCACAGAGTGTGGTCGAGTCGAGTCGAGTCGGGTCGAGTCGAGTCAAGTATTTAGCTCGAGTCAATTCGAGTCACAAATATTTGAACAGTTAATTACAATAAAAAAGCAACAAACACAAGAGAGAAGGAATACAAGGCACCAGTCTATTACGGAAATCCAAAGACATAAAGTATGTTGTATGGTACCCAACCAACAGTTTCCATTGCTAGCTCACGTCACAGATAAGAAGATGTGAAACTTCGGTCTTATAACTGGTTTGGCTTCGGGTCTAGATTTTGTTGTTTGCTGATCGCTGACAACGTTTAAACCTAATTGCATTATACAAAACTGTTTCTGATTATTTAAAGGTGGGCCCGTCCGTATCCATTTTTGTGTGTGAAATCGGGACATGAATTTAGCCAGCGTTCCACCAAGAACTTCAAAATCGCCCGAAACCAATGATGAAACCACGGATTGAGAAATGCGTTTTAAGTCTGGTTCCGGGTTTAGCATTACATGCTATAGAACCACAAGGTGGGAGTCCGCGACACGGTGTATGTTTGTTGTTTCATTATGGAGGAAGGAAACAGACTGCCGCTTGATATAAACGTACATTATTCGCGAACATTAACGTGACGTGAACAAAAACTGGCAACGCGAACGACGCAGCGTAAGTCATTGCAAATATTTTTCGCAAGTAAGTTTTGCTTTTATTTTGGGACTCGAGTCTTATTAGCCTTCCTCGAGTCGAGTCGAGTCATTCTGATGAGGGACTCGAGTCGAGTCGAGTCATTTGCTCGCAGTGACTCGAGTCGAGTCGAGTCATTTACCCGTCGGGACTCGAGTCGAGTCGAGTCGCCAAAAAATGTGACTCGAGTCGGACTCGAGTCGAGTCATTGACTCGAGTCATTACAACTCTGCTTATTTCGTATAATTAGACTGCCGTTTCCTGTCGCAGCTAAGATAAACATCGTTGTAGACAAGTTTCCAGTCCTTTCCTCTCTCACGGCACGTGGGCGCACGGCTCGCCGCAACGCCAAAATAAGAGGAAATCTTATTTTTATTTTTCTGAACAAATAACAAGGACCTACTTTATAAATACGAGGAATTCCTAAGCAAAAACTGCAGAGCAAATTTACACCTTTTGAACATTTAGTTCTTGTGCTTAAATTTATGCACTAAATAAATAAATAATAACACAAACGGGTGGATCTGGCTTTCAATTAATTGAATTCATCAGATAAAAGTATTCTTGTCTTTTTCACTTTAATATATCCCAATGTTATTAAAATTCAGTTAAAAAAATGCAGTCATTACACTTTTCACCTCTTGTGTCACCTTTTGTGTCTTGTGTCGTTAAAATCTAATTTTGACACGTTCGTATGGGTCTTCATTTTCGGCAAATTTCTTCGAAATGACACATCCTGAATACGCGTGAAGGCAAATATAGAAATCTAGGTACATGTACAATGTAAGTACTCAACCTGCATACGAAATAATGAGATTTGAAGGTTTGCATGGTCATGATGGTGGAAAGATACTACAAGATAAGTTTGCGGTAGCACCATGTGAATAAATCTCTTTTGTGAGTATGTGTGGTTCTCCGGTTCTTTTCAGAACCACACATAGGCCTACTCAGAAAAGAGATTTATTCACATAGTGCTACCGCAAACTTATCTTGTCTTAATACGAAATAATGTATGGCGGATCGATTTCGCTAGGTTCGAAGTGACGCAAGAGCGTGGCATACAACGCCACGTTCACGGGTCTAGGCCCAAGTGTCGACTTAGTTTTAGGCTAGCATTAGCAAGCAATTAGGCCTAAGCCTAGGCCTAATTTAATTATATTAAATTTAAACTAATCTTTAATCCCCTTTTTGATCAAAATATTAAATTCACATCACAATGAACTGTACAAAGAAACTGAAATACTGAATTTTACCAACCAATAATATGAAGAAGTCGGCAGTCTGGTTGCAGATCGAGTACTCCGACTGTATTGTGTTACACTGATGTTTGTTCTCTCAATGCTCGTCGAGCGGAGTTTTATTCCGCAAACCAAACGGACATAACGAACATCATGGATATTTACTATTTAGCCTAGGGCCTAATCCGGAACGGCGGAATTAAGCTGAGCTACAGTAACTCTCAGCCTTTTCCAGATAAATCATACCATGACAGCGTTCCATAAACTCTGCATTACATCTGATGGTAGTGGACGTCATATGCATTAACAGCTGGCATGAATATGATTATTATTGATTCCCAGAAATACCCAACAACAAGTTCGCTCTCTCGCACCTTCGTGGCCGGCCGTCGCGTCGATTCGACATAAAATAAACGAAACTTGCGCGCCGGTATATATGGCGCCCTCTACCGCCCAGCGCGAAAGTTTTGCTTGCAAAGTTTTTTCAGAACGGCCTGATTGGATTCGAATGTGCCTTCCGTACCGTCGACGTGCAATCATGGCATTTGGCACACAGTCGGAAGATTTTTGGCTATATAGCTATAGGGCCATCTCAGATTTGTCCTTTGATAAAGGGAGAATAAGGCCAAAAAAAAAAGTCTCCGGTTTCTGGTATGCGCGCGCGTTGCCGTAGCCATGCGCGTCGGCAAAATGAAAAAGGTTTTTTTTCAATGAAAGATGATGTCTCAAAACCGCCAAACTCACTGGTTTGACTGGAATTCTGCTGCTGCGCAATTTCAACGTGTTTTTAGATGGGGTTATGATCGAGAATTAGCTTTATGTGGCCTCTCTGGACTCCCATATATTGCACTAAGTTTAGTCGGGCACCATTTGCAGTCATCAGCCGACATTTGAAGCAAAAAAGTCAGGTAAAAAAAAAAAAAAGCCGCGTCGCCGCACCACTTTTTGGACAAGCTCCATACCAGAAACCGGAGACTTTTTTTTTTGGCCTTACAAGAAATGGCAGCCCTTTTGAATTTTTTTGCTTGTTATTCTACCTATTAATTTTTTTCAAAGGACAAATCTACGGCGACGGATATATCTTTAAGACGTACAATGTGTCAGTGTGCCAACTAAATCATCATACTTTTATCATCAAAGGCAAAATTGACAAGCCGTTGTTTATGTTTATTTATCCCAGCTAGTTTTCCTTTAGTGAAGGCAAACATTTATGGGCAGTACAGTATAGCTGTGGGTATTCCTGCTCGATCAAGTGCTCAAAGATTTTATCCTGAACTTAATTAAACAATTACTCCTTTCCCTTTCATTCATTCAAGTTACAAGACAAAACATTAACATTTTTTAGTCTCCATCACATCTCGAACAAAAGAACTTCATGTCATCGTGTACGTCATGCATCCAGTCTGAAGCCAGACTACAAGCTATCGAAATGATCTTGTAACACTACGATTTAACTTGGATTGACTTGTGATTTGTTATTGACTTGTGATTTATAGAAAAATATTTGGAGAAATTATGCGCGCAAGTAATAGTTATTCACACAGCCACCCCCCCCCCCCCCAATCAAACACATTACAATACGACGACATGGACAGTTCATAAACGGACCAAATTTATAAGGCCCAATTAAACCAATCATGAATCAATATTGTCAATTATTCGGAATTTAAAAGGAATGTCATGTCAACATACAATTGGTCAGTCGAGGCGGGGGCCGGGGGGGGGGGGGGTGGGGGTGGATATAGCCACACCCAACCAGCCCCTTAGATCCGCCTTGCCTGAAAAAGAACAGAACAGATACCACAACAGATCTACGCAAGGCCTGATTTATATATTCGACCTTGTTTGAAGGACCATCAATCAAACACTATAAGTTACACAAGGATCAGTGCTACCAGTTTTGAAATTAGAAGCATTTTTATGAAATATACATGCCCATGGAGAACTGTACTGTTTTTGTATGTCATACCATACATTGTACATGTAAATCACGTTTTTCATTCAAACCCACTGACACACAATGAACATGTATCTCAGCTGTATGCTATCCCCTCTAAAGTGTCTTCAGTATACCATTGAGTAGACTACATGTACACATGTAGATGAAATCATGTGATTTTTTACCACTGATTCCATACATTTTCTCCAAAAATACTTATCAATTTATGGAGTTTTGTGGGTGTATAGGGACCTGTAAACTCCTTAGGGACGGTGATGGGTGTAAGGGTGCATTGGGAGATTTAGACACATTTTTAGACATATCAATATTTTGAAAGTTAAAAAAATCAAATAAATCTGATTTAAATCAAATCAATCTGATTTAAATCAAATAAATCTGAATTTTTTTTTTTTTAATTAAAAATTAAAAAAAAAATCGCCAACCCTGGTTTTTATACTCATACATAACTGTACTACGTAGTACGTGGTTGTTGGTATTTAGGTTTGTTTGTTGTGCTTAACTATTTTGGCTCACCATAAGTTTTTAAGAGCGACCTCTCGTGACATTAAAAAAGTCTGGCGCCGGCCGTTTCTCCCACGTAATATGAGTAGGCGAGACACACCCGATACCAATCTAGTACGTCGCGCAGGTTGTACATTCTGTTACACTTGTGTGTGTGTACGTACGTCAACGGACTTTTATGCATTATGTATTTTTACTAGGTCAAGTTCGTGAGCAGAACTTTTGGACCAATGAAATTCGATTTATTTCGTCAAAGTTCAGGAATCTAGCGGCAGACTGAAAATGCACTGGCAGTAAAACTGTAGATTTACAATCACAAACAGCGTGTAAACTGTTGCTGTGAGTTGTTTCTCACTTCGTCCGAGGATCATGGACATAATGGAGCACGGAGCGAGACTCGCCGTGGGTTCACTCAGCGACTCGGACGGTCAACCATCACCGGTCCCGCACGCTACCGTCATCGTGGTACTCGTAGGATCGGCCATTGCATTCCAGTGTACAAATGTAGCTCTGAATTTTGCCCCCGTTCCAGAGAAACAGGAAAGGGAGAGAAGATTTAGATGGAGAAACATTGTGACATCGTTTATTCACGCTGTCATTTCTGGATTTTCTGCAAGTTATTGGTGAGTTTTTTCATGTTTTTGGTTCGTAAAAATGTTCATTAATAATTTAATAATATAGACCCATGGATTGGAGGAAGGACTGTTAGGAGTATTTTGTTTACATGCACCAGTATGATACTAATTATATTAGTCCTTTCATTAAGAATAAAATTTGCATAAAAAAAGAAACTGGAAAAAACAGCAAGTTATCTTTAATTATTTTATTAAATTACTAAATTTAGGATAAGCTGGATCAATACTAGCATGTTTGGAGGTAAGCTGATTTTCTTTTCTAAAAAGAAAAAAGAATACGGGGCTGAATTTCATGTTTAAATTAAAAGGAGAAATGAGCTTGGACTGCATGGTCAGTCTGAATAATTGAACATAAACTTCTTAATTATGCATAAATTACAATTTTCAATTAAAGGACACACAATTATAATCAACAAAGGATCCCAGTTTTTATAACATTTAATTGCAGGAAAATGTTTCCATCCCAGGCAGCTAGGATTTTTCTTTACATGTACATGTAATTTGTTCACATATTTATGACTATTTTTAAATATATTTTATTTATTTTGTATGTATGTTAATTGGGGGAGGGTGATTATCACTGATGTGAGAAAGGGGCCTATGGATTGGTGAATCCTTGTAAGTTGTATTGTACTACCATCTACATTGTATAGACATAAGACAGGTGCATACAATGTTCCCCAGTACTATGTTCCCCAATACTTACATGTACGTTCCCCAACCCTAATCCTAACTCAAACCATATAACCCAAACCCTAACCCTAACTGTTACCTTAATGAATTTAGGGAACATAGGTACTGGGGAACATCCGACATCTATAGACCACAAACATGTACAGCATTCTTTATTCTGCACTCACTGGGAACAAATGCTTCTTTCAACGGAGTGCATCCATGGAGAAATTTCTCCATGGTGCATCATAGCAGACGGTCCCTGAATGCTGATTGTCCTGTTACATAACTTTCGATTGTCACCTTTGATCCCTATCTTGCTCAAATTCCAGATAGTGTGTGCGTTGCAGTCATCCAGACACTGTGTGCTATATATATAGACTTACCTTGTGCAATTTAAGTCAATATGTACACATTGTATAATAAACTGATATGGAGCTGATAAAACATGTTTTCAGTGATAAGAAGTAATAAAAAACATTTCTGAATAATTGACGTCCTGCATATTAGAGAGGAGAGTCACACACCTTTTTGTTTTTGAATTTTTTTTAAAAACTGATGTTTTTATAGGAACCATGCCAAATATTTACAGGAACACAAGACGTGATGTACACTCATTACAATGCAGCATTCTCATTGTGCATGGTGATAAAATTGCTGTCTACTGCATGACGATTTTTATGATAATACATGCATGTCTACATTCAATTGAAAATATTTCCTTTCAAATTCAGCACAAAACTACCTCAGGCCACTCTGCGTTCTAATCACATTTTTTTTTTCATTGTGGAGAAACTATAGGCCCTATTTAGTTTTTAGTATAAAAATTATTAGTTATTGTGCATTCACCATATTTTGTTGTATACATTTTTCTGTCCAATCTACTTTTCATAATAAACACCTCACTTCGTGGGAAAATATATTAATATTCCTTTTCAACATTTAGCTTTTTGTTGCAGAGAAGATCTTAACAAAATCTTGAAGATGGATTTCATAAATTCTTAAAAGAAAATGTAATGCTTGAAAAATCTTAAAATTGAAGTCTGATTGTCTTGTAAATATTGTGTACGGATTTAACTTGAATTTTTATAGCATGAAAAGAATGTTGTGTTTTCCTAAAAGAAAAGCGTACGATTAATTTACTACATGTTTTTGAAATAAGAGTATTCTCTGTAAACTCCTTGTAAGATGAATTTTTTTTCTAATCGTGAATTGTGAATGCCTTTTCTGCTAACATTTGTGTTGGCTTCAGACCTTTATGTACATCCATACTTTATTTTACTAAAGAAAGGAAGTGATACTATAGAAACCAATTTTGCGACATACTATTGCCATAAATATTTTAATCATGCGTGGAAAGCAAATATCACATAATATGAATTCATATAACATTACATTATACACTGTTGAATTATTGATTGTATGTAAATTCTGTCTGTTGTGCAACAGTCTGGTGCCGTCATACCGGTATTTGTATCCGGAGAAACTTGACTTTATTTCTGGTTGTGGTCGACATATCCTCACTAATGTTTTATGCAGCTTCACGAGATCACTCGTTTTTCATTGTTCTTCAATTGTATGTCAGACGTGCATGAGATCACATTAGATCACGTCCGAGTAACAAAAAGCAAACTTGTCAGCTTGCCAAAAATGCACAAACCAGGGGGGGGGGGGGGTGGGGGGGACAGACAGAAGGTTCGATTTCATCATAGAGCTAGGAACCATGATTTCATCAACACACCAGTTCGCATGGATATGATAAAGCTCGTATGTTGATTTACCACAAATCCTTTCAAAATTCAATCTACCCTCAGCCGTGCAAATTAATGATGCATAACAGTTAACACAAACCTCTGTCAACACGGAAGTCTGGAGAATAAAATGTGGCGGGGAAAATTTTGCTTTCATTAATTGTTTGTTCATCTTGCTGGGATAAACTGTTCACCCCTCAACCTTACTTGGAGATGAGAACACAAATTGTGTTACAGTACTAGGAGGGTTGTTTTGTGGATGCTGGGAGGGGGGGGGGGTTCTTTAAGAAAACACCCCCCCCCCCCCCCCCCAATAAAAAATTGCAAAATTTGTTTCCTTAATTTTGCAATTTTTTATTCTTGAGGAAAATTCTTCTGTGTTGAACATTTTCTGATTATTTTTATATTCTTTCATATTCTCTATAATGAAACTGGTAAAACTAAGCCAAGGTACTATTGCCAATCTACCTACATGTACCTACCTGGATACTTTCAAGGGCTTTTCAGTAAAACACAAAATTAATTTTACAGACTTATACAGGTAGATGTCCTTCAGTGTACAAATCTGAGGACATCAATCAGGAAATGTAATTGAACAAAATAATATGTATACATGTACATGTGTACATGAAACCATCTATTATCTGCAATCGTGTTCCGTTGAGACAATAGGCCCCCTATATCACTATCTTATGGAAACATAACTGTTTTTTCTTTCAGTTTATTTTCATTACTGTTTTCCTTTCACTGAAGTTGAGATAATTACCGGTATCAGTAAAGACATGTAAACACTTAATCATTATTTTTTCAATTTAGTAATGCTGTTTCATGAAGTACATGTATGGAGATGTTTTGACATACAAATTTACTCGATTTTGGCAACAAGTTAATTATATTCACAGGTGTAAGAATGAACCCTGCGTTCAGTGACTTGAGTTTTATATTCTAAATTGAACTAATAATGTAATCCTCTTGACTTAACTTTCCTTGCATTATTTTCAAATTTAGGGTAGCAGATGAAATGTGTAAATATGCTCTTTGGATGAGCTCGGTTCACAAAAGTCACTGTAGTCATTGAACTGATTGAGTGTTTACATAATGATATTTTACAAAATTGATTCAATGCCAAGTTTACAACTTCTTTCAACAATATTTGTATAGATTGAAGTGGTTGTGTGTTGTCAATGTTCGGCGTCAATACATACATGTACATTGTGTAGGTCAGATTGCTAGGCTTGTGTAAGTGCTGAAGTAGAGAGGTCAACTCAGGTCATTCAGGGATTGACGCGGGCTGCAGTCATTTCGTAACATTCTGAATTTATAACAAAAATCTGAAAGGCCATGAAATGAAAATGAACACAATCACAATACATCATCACCAAAAACCATAGATGTAAAACAAAAAAGAATAGAAAAAACAGGGAATCATAAGAAATGAAATACGCAAAATTTGTATTGTATTATTATTTTTTTTACGTGAGTTACAGCATGGAGCTGTATGTCTAGCTCTATGGTTATAGTGATGTTGTGTACCGGGTGTATTCTATTATAATTTATTGTTTGTAGGCCCATTTTCTGAGTAGTGTTATTTTTAGAAATGCCAGAGAAATGTCTTCTTTTTTTTAGTGTGTATATGAATAATAAACTTGAATTTGATTTGATTTGATAATACCAAAGGCTCTTTAATAAAACTTCCTCCTCTGAAATTGTGTCTAAATTAAGAAATTGAACAACATTCTGTAGATTCTGTAGATTAAAGAATCTAAGATTTGGGCAAGTCCATATTAAATGTTTGTTTACATGGAGTTTGGTGCCGCTTGAAATGTGACAGTGCCCTTATAGTTTTCTACATTTGCAGGATTTTTGAAGGATTGAGGAATGCTTGCCTGGAAGGTTTGTCATGTTAATAATTACAGTATTTCCTTTGTGTTTTTTCCCCGTTAGTTTGTACACGTCACCAGAGATACTTGCAGACATCAAACAACATGTGACAACCATGAGCATGGTGCTTGTGGCACTGTCAGTAGGTAAGAAATATGCCCCCCCCCCCATTTTTTTTTATATTTCAAGGTAATTTGTAAACAGACAAAAACAACTTTTTTTATGTGATGAAATGCCTTATGGACTGTAAGTCTCAAGCATCCTGTTAAATCATGGCAACTGATGTGCTCTCATTTTAAAAATGAGTGGAATTTTGGTATCAATTTGCAATGATGGTCGACCATCATTGGGAAAAAAGCTGACTTTTTTCAAACACTGCCACTAATTTACCAAATTTAGTCCACATTTTGTTTGCAATCGGTTACACATCTTGAACAATCCAGCTACATGTAGGCTAGTTCCCTTACATGAACCTGACTTTTCCACGGCGTCTCTAAATTTGCTCCACTTCGTCTGAAGTAGGGACAGGGAACTATGTACAAGAACAACAGGGGTTTTTTTTTTTTTTGGGGGGGGGGGAGTTTCAAGCATCTATTTCAAAACTTTAAACGGGATCAGTGTAATGATATTTGCTATATAACCTCCGCCCAAATCCATCCATTTCTGAAAATGATCTTTCAAATATATGTACTCTAATATTTTATTTAAATTAAATCATATTCCACAAGTATTTCTTCTATTGTTTGTTGGTGTTTCTTTCAAAGCAAATACATGTACGCTGTAATTTAGGCTTTTTTGAGGTGCGGCGGCCACACAAAGAACTCATTGTATAGTATTCTCGCAAACTAAGTAGCATCATCCTATTGTGGCTGGCATACATGCATGTACCTCAAAAAGGCTAAAGGCAGGATTGAAACTACAATGTAATAGGTTGCCATTTGCCTGCTGTACCGGGACACATCAGAAGACAAAGGAAGTCGCTCATTTCCCCTTGCCGTTACCTCCGCAACCCTTTTATACCTTCTTGCTTCACAAGTCAATTAAAGCAAGATAGTTTCTTCCTCCCCCCCCCCCTCCCAAACTTCTAGGCTCAGTGCCAGTTTCTGTATGCATGGTCAACAAACTTTCCTCTGCTTCAAGACTTGTCAATTTTGTGTGATCCTTCCACAGGTTACTTTGTGTATGACCTCATCGATATACTAATCTATCGGCCAATCAGAAATACTTGGCCGTTAGTCATTCATCACGTCGTTGTAAGTACCTTTTTTAATGATTTTCAAATTCAAACCCAACTGATCGACAAAACAATTTAATTTGTTGCATTGTATTTCTAACTCTATTAAATTTACTACTGATTTAAAAAAAAAAATATTCCAAAGCAAAACACAAGCTAGGGCCGCAATGGAAATACATTTTTACAACTTTTGTTTGCGTTATTCCTGCTTTTTCCACTGTATGGGGGACTCTCTATGATGAATTTTTAATTTACAGTTCTAGATCATAATTTTTTTTTGGGGGGGGGGGGGAATGGTACATGTGGAAATTGCAAATAAATCAAATCAAATAAAGAAATTCAATAACAACTTGAGCAAGACCTAGGATTTTCAGCTGACCACCACCAACTTGTTTTTAAGAGCACAGGGTATGAAAGTTTTATTTCAGGACCCCAGACTGGTTACTTTTGTACACAGAACAGTATATCAGGGATCAACAAAGCGGTAGCCCACAAGCCAAATGTTAGTCAAAACAGCGGCGGGCTAGTCAAACTTTGCCTTAAGGCTGGCAAGTCAACAATTATTGGGCTAGATAGGCAAAGATGAAAGGACAGGAAGAAATAAATCGTTAAGTTCAGAAAGCAAACCTGAATCAATCTGTGTCTAATGTTATTAACTGTTTAGGGTTAAATAATTAGATCTGTTTATTAATTTAATACTGACAAGATTGCCTCAGGATACACATTTTACACGTCATGTTCTGTATGCACATTGTTGTTTATGAGACACTCTATAAAAGAAAAACAAAACATGCAGGCTGGTGAAACTGAAAATGCCCGCGGACTATAGATAGCTATTAAGAATAAGCTTAGAGTCTGTTTCATCAGTAACCCGGCCAGCAGTAGTCAATAAAAAAAAAAATAAGGTCGAACCCTGTATCATATTACAGTCGAGTCTCATTAATACAAACTCGTTTAGATACCTAGCCAAATTGTTTGTTATATCAGAATTTTGTATTAAGAGGAACATCAGTCCCATTCATTGTGCACATAAATGCACAGTCGGGACCAAGGCTTTATGTTTGTTATAACCAGAATTTTGTATAAACAGAGTTTGTACTAACGAGATTTGACTGTACAAAACAATCCAAATTCTATTGTAGTTTCCATAATTGCATGCAACTGTATGTAACGTTTGAAATCCTGTAACCTGAAAAAGAGTAGTGCAGCAGATACACAAAAGTATACAACTCGGCAGCACATTATAGTATGTTTGATAATTGATACTACTCACAATAGCTAGCTGTGCAGATACCTGCATCTCTGTAAAATATAAAAGCAGCATGGTTTATGTGACTACACTGTCTGATATTCAAGGTCACATGACTCCGCTTAGCACACAGCAAGCTGTTTCCTCTCTTGCCTATTAAATTTGTAGTTGGAATTGACATGGTGGGTGTCATGGTGGGTGTGCCGAGTGACAGGCTTGGAATGTCCCAGAGGTCACTGAGGTCACACAGGTCATGACCTCAATTGCTTCCAGTCTTGGACTTCTTGTTCTAAATATATGCTAGAATGCCAAGGCTTTTCATCTTCAGAAAGGAAATATAAAAAGGGGATTTGTGTTTGAAATGCGATTGTGATTGAGGGTAGATAAAAACACCCTAAGGTTTGATTGAAAAAAAAATCAGTTACAGTTCAAGATAGTTATATGTACATCAACATATTATGTGATGTGATCGAGCTAAATGAGTCGTTTGTCAGGAACTTTCATTTGGAGATTTGGGCCAAAATAAGGCCACTTCATCACATCACTTCATCACATCTCTTGGTTTTCTAACTTCCATAATTTTTTCAACTAAATCTGGCATCAGCATGCGGTTTTTCACAGCAGTTATGCTGAGATTGTGCTCTTTTCAAATCTGTAAAAAAATTTTTACCAGGGTCGACAAACGACTCGTTTATTTGATCACATCACATATTTGAGAGAGAAAAATATGTTTGAGAATTTCTTGAAAACGTTTCTTTGAAGTTTGTCTTTTGTAACAAACTTCTGCAAAATCAAAGCTAGACCAAATACCTGTACATTGCATAAACTTTTTATGCAATAATTAAATGTCAAACAGCTGAATCTGTGGCCTGTATGAGATACAAACAGTGTACATGTACATGTGACTTTTTTCTCTCTCTTTTTCTTTTTTTAAATCAAATTCTGTTATTTTAATTTTTTAATTAAATAATCGCATTGTCGTTTTTTAAAAAATTATCCACAATCTGGTTATAATTTTTTTCCAGCTAAATTTAAAAGCTCAGTGCAATTGTGTAAAGACTAGAAACGATCAAGAAGAATTCCAAAAAAGAAAAAAGAAAAGTTCCAGTTCTTTCACTCGTTCCTCATCCTTGTTTTACTGGTTTGTTTTCCCGACAGATTTTCTGCTGCTTTGGCATTTGTCTATACCTCCGCGCCTACGTTGGCTACGCTGTGGTAGCATTAGTGGCCGAAACCAATAGTGTATTCCTCCATTTTAGGCAGATTCTACAAATCATGGGCGTCCCAAAGAGCACGCCCATCTTCCGAATGAACAGCGCCATGAACATCACGACGTATTTAATATTCCGCTTCGGGACGCTATTCTGGATGTTCTATTGGCTGCAGACCCATCGGCATGAGGTACCTCTGATACTGTATCTCATAGCCGCCCTCGGATTGGTCGTCATGGTGATCATAAACATGGTGCTTTTTAAACGCCTGCTGATTAGCGATTACTTATCCCCCGGGGATAAACTGAAGAAAGAGAAAAATGTTTTGGAGAAATAGTCCATGTGATTGCTGTCATGATCGATATCCAACATTTACTTTTGGATACACACATTACCGTCATAATGTGTGAATGTAGAGGTAGTCTGTATGAACACATACTGGCGAACACGATTTAGAATTTCGCATGCAACTGCATAACTACATGGAAGTCACAGTACATTGTAGAGCACCATTTCAGTAAACACTGCAGGACAAAAGATTTGGCAGTGTCATGAACATCTACATATTGTAGAGCTCCCACAATTTTGTTCAATTACATAGAGCATTTGTGGCAAAATTTGCTATGAATTTCAGTTTTGAAGCCCCAATGTGTTGGTTTTGTGACTTGTAGTTCTGTATTACAGATGTATATTTGCAAAATCCATGAAGTGATGCATTTCGGATGAAAGCATACGCACCCACTTGTATGTTTGTGAATGGTTATTGATCTCAATGATGCCAGGAATGTGAAGAACTCCCTGCTCAAGTTCCCCCTCAGTGGTTCCAAAGAAAATTGGGGGGGGGGGGGGGGGGGGGGGGGGACCACTGGGAGGGACAATTGAAATCATGGCTATTCGCATCTGACACTCATGCAACAATGCCAAGAGTTTGAACACAGTCAAAAATAAAAGTCATGTGTTGAGTTGTGTACATGAGCCAGTGCAGCCCCGGCACTATCTCCACCACGTAGCTCTGTGAGTTGTGATAAATCAAACACAATGTACATGTAAACGCCATGGTCCAGTGGTTGCGGTGTCTGACTCGTGTACGAAGGTGCTTGGGTTCAAACCCTGCCAGGAACGTGGTGTTTGTGCCCTTGGGCAAGACACTTAACTACAATTGCCTCTCTCCACCCAGGAGTATAAATGGGTACCTGTGAGGGTCGAGGACCGATTGAGCGCTGATATCGGCTGCCGCGCGGTCTTTAAATTTGGCCTGATGAACGGGGTAATACATTGTAATTGTAAAGCACTTTGAGATTGTGGATACGATGGAAAGCGCTATATATCGTTTCGGTTTTGCGGTAACACCATGTGGTAATAACTACTGCTTAGAAGATATTAGTTCTGAGAAGAACTTGTCCTGCTTATTATCAACTTGCTAAGTAGTTTTTTTGTTCTGTTTAGAACAGTCCTGCTGTAAGTTCTAAAAGAACTTGTCTTTGGTCTCAACGTTTCGACTAGCCTGCTCTAGTCATCGTCAGGAGACTGTCTCCTGACGATGACTAGAGCAGGCTAGTCGAAACGTTGAGACCAAAGACAAGTTCTTTTAGAACTTACAGCAGGACTGTTCTAAACAGAACAAAAAAACTACTTAGCAAGTTGATAATAAGCAGGACAAGTTCTTCTCAGAACTAATATCTTCTAAGCAGTAGTTATTACCACATGGTGTTACCGCAAAACCGAAACGATACCGATACCCCACCATGCAAAGCCTCAAATCTTATATAAGCGCTATATAAGCACTATTATTATTATTATAGAGGACAGGATATTTCGTAAATAATTGTACAGTCAGTTTCAATTTGAAATGTGAGAGTGCAAATGGTTGATCACAGTGCCTTGTGCAATTTAGCTACTACCGATGATCCGGTTGTGTTTATAAGGAGTGCCTCAGAACTTGGATCTCTTGGAATGCCGCACTGTGTTTTTCCAACTCTGAACAGTCTGGATGTTCCAATAGATAAATGTTGGCCTGTTCGTTGGGAATGGTTGAGAATGAGAAGTTATCAGATTTTAGGCTTTCATGGATCGGTATGGTTTTAGTTTGTGGTAACACCATGAGGTAATAACTACTGTCCAGTAGATATTTAGTTCTGAAAAGAACTTGTCCTGCTTATTACTATTAAACTTTCACGAGGTAGTTTTTTCTTCTGATAAGAACAGTCCTGCATTAAGTTTTAAAAGTCTTGGTCTCATCGTTTCGACTAGCCTGCTCTATTCTAGAATTTGTTACATTTCTCGCAAGTGTCCGAGCACGAATTCGTAAATGTTGATCACATTTCATCTCCAGCAAGTTCGGCTATGAATAGATTGTGACGTTGACTTTATACGTACTTCACTCTTGAAGACAGACTGGCCTTAACTCAGAAAAAAACTTGTTCCAGTTTGGAACACACTTGGAAAATTGATTGTTCCCTCCAGGAACACCCACGAATGAAACAGGGATATTACGAGTTTTGAGGCACTCTCTTAAAAGTTGATTAAATTGCTTGGTATTCCATCCAATAACTGACAGGGTTTAAGAAGTGAGATTCAAATGAAGGCTGCATTTTGTAAATATATAGTATTCATGTAAAACGCACAAATATAACACCCTATGCAGTTTGTTAACAGTAATTGGTCTGTGATGTGTATATATTACTGGACATTATATAAATTGGTATTGAAACAAATTCATAGTGATATACAGAGATATTCAGTGATACATAACTGGTTGCTTAACTGGTTAATTGTTATAAATCTAGTTTGACTTTCAAGGAAAACTTGAAAGGTAAAAAAAAAACCCAGCTGATAAGTAATTAAAAAATTTGAGAAAATTGTCATGGAATACAATGATATAAGAGTCAGCTGTTTATTGCTTTCAAGCTAATTATTTGTTTGTGTCCTCAGTTACATGTACCTTGTTTGATTTTAATTGTTTCTGATCAATCTGTTCCATGAGCCAGCCAAAATTAAAATCCTAAACCACAAATGAACAGAACTTGTTCTCAATGTTGAAGAATTTGCTTTCCTTATTCAGTACAAAAACCTGTAACTTAAAAACAGTATTATAAAACTTATGAATGCCTGTTTTTCCATTATTATTTTTTTTGGAAAAATTAAGGTGGGGGGGGGGGGGGAAGGAAGGAGGAGTTGTCAAAATAATGGGGGGACAGTAAGGAGAAGACATTTATAATGGCTGTATGGGAGGGACCGGTATTATCAGTATTAAAAATCATTTAGGTTAAAAATGTACTGTACGTGCAACAATGCCTTTTTTTCATACAATTTGTTACTAAACTAAGCCATTTTTTCCCATTCAGTGTCTCATTCAAAACTTGGACACAACTATGTTTTAGTATGAAACTTGAAAATAACACGGAAAGTCATGATGAGAGGTTTGGTTTTTATACATGTATATACATGTAGTTTTTGTTAAAGAGGTTGTGGAATGCTCGAAGACATTTCCGTCATTTTTCATTTATACTACGCAACATTGGGAGTCCTGTTTATTACGTCACGATTTACTATGTTTTGTTTGCTGCCCAAAACGATAACTTTTACACAAATTGAAAGTTCGGGTCGAAACAGGACCTGAAAAACAGCTCTCAAAAGTACCTTTTGTACTCATTTCATGACAGAAACAATAGTCGTTTTTATTTCATCACACCTTAGGCTACATATCCCCGAAAAATGACGGAAATGTCTTCGAGCATTCCACAACCTCTTTAATTCAGGGAATCTGAGGCTGAATGTACAATGTACATATAATTATAAGAACAACTCCACTGTAGGTTCTGGTTCAGCAATCTGACATGAACAAATCATTTTTACAATGAGCTCTTAATTCACAGTAAACAATAGCGGGAATGCAAAGCTTACACCAACATTAACACACCCACAAAAATGTATGTTAGCAATTTTCCATCATAATTTGATAAGAACATGATTATAGATTAAAGGTTTGTTTGTTTTTGTTTGTGTAGTCAACATGGTGAAGTTCTTTTTATTTTTATGTTTGCATGTTTGAATTTACTGAGTGAAATGTGTGTCCTGAAAACTTGACGTTGGGTTCAAATTAAACAAGGATCTATCGGGCCAATAAAAAAAGTCTCCGGTTTCTGGTATGCGCGCGCGTCGCCGTAGCCATGCGCGTCGGCAAAATGAAAAAGTTTTTTTTCAATGAAAGATGATGTCTCAAAACCGCCAAACTCACTGGTTTGACTGGAATCCTGCTGCTGCACAATTTTAACGTGTTTTTAGATTGGGTTATGGTCGAGAATAAGCTTTATGTGGCCTCTCTGGACTCCCATATATTTGCACTAAGTTTAGTCGGGCACCATTTGCAGTCATCAGCCGACATTTGTAGCAAAAAAAATCAGGTAAAAAAAAATTAAAAGCCGCGTCGCCGCACCACATTTTGGGCAAGCTCCATACCAGAAACCGGAGACTTTTTTTTGGGGGGGGGGCCTTAATAACCCCTTGAGTGATGTACTAGGAACCTAGTAAAAATCACTATTATGGTAAACTCTACAACCAAACTGTTGGACTCTGATTATGGTGGTATGCCCAACCCCATAAAAGCATAATCAGTTTACTAGTGCACTCCTCACTCCAACAGAATCAAACAAAACATGCAGTTGGATTTTGAAGGGTTGGGTTGGTTAGGGTTAATAGAAGTCTAATACAAGTAAATACTAGCTTAGAAAAGCTGAATATTTTTGAATTATTTTATGAGTTATAACTTTTAAAATTACTTATTTGTTGCAGCTGAACTTCGTTGCTGACAGAATACTTGATTCAAAGTAATGCCCCAGTGTTTGTTACATTTTAATCGTGAAGTTTGTGTTAATTTAAGGTTACATTTACAGAATGGTAACAGTTGGTAACAATTGTGATTTTGTTTTTACATGTACATGTATTTATTTTCTGTTATAACTTTACAGTGTGCTTGAACATTACCATTTGTTAATGAATTAAAATTGTCAATGTATTTTTGGAGTTGTAATGAATGATTTTCATAATGTAATTATGGCTAATAAAAATCACCGAAGGTTTTCGTATTCCAAATTTGCCAACTTGATTTATTACACTATAAGATTGCTTCCTTACAGTCATCATGACTAATCCTTGAAAATGTTTTTCCGTCATTATCCCAAACACGAGCTTTCTAAGTTTTATTCTGAAATGACAACTGTGATTGGGTGTTGTTGAGTAAAATCCCTCTAGTCGATTTGTGACCTACATGTTGAGGAGCCTTCTTATGTTTGGTCAGTCACAGACAGTCAAAAATGTCTTCCACTTCCCCTGCCATGCCTTTGTACATTTATACACACTAGTCAAAAACAGTCAGATCACATTCGTGTAAACACTGTGACTTGTCAAATTCCATCAACAGACAAAAGAGGTTTGTAGGTACAGCTGGCATATCAATCACCTCCAGTCAAAGCATGGCTATATCAAATTAACAAGGGGATTCTCAACTGTCAAAAACAGTCACGTGATTGATTTTCACTGCTGTGATGGTGAAGCTGAATTGGTCATTTGCTGATAAAATTCCGTTATTTCATTTTCAGATTTCCTAGTGATAATTGCACATTGCGAGGTAAAATTGTGTTTGCTAGTGTTTTTTTGTAATACCAGACAATGCATGACAAAACTAGAAAGCACTCAGAGAGCGCAAACTTCCGCCAAGGCTAAACAATTCCCCGCCATAATTTTTATTGTCAGTACACCCATATACATGTACTTGCATAAATTGTGAAGAATCCTTAAAAAAAGTCCTGGATCGAGACCCAGATCTTGATAACTGCCAAAATCAAATTGATTGGTACCTGTACCAAGGACCACCCCTGAAAAAAAATTGTCATGCAAATCCATCCATAACTTTTTATTTATCTTGTTAACGGACAAACCAACAAACTAACCAAATCCAATGAAAACGTAACATCCTTGGCGGAGGTAACAGCCAAAATAATTTGTGATACAGCAAAATAGCGTTGAGCTAATACATGTACATGTATGCTGTTGAAACATTTTTAAAAAAAGCAAACGGCGAGCGTTTATAACAGAAGTAAATGTAGTTAACACAACTGGAAACAAATTGTTGCCTGGTTACTAAGTTTTATTACCTGTAATAAGCCACTTGCGAGTTAAATTTGAATAAAATCTGGAACGCTGACTTAATACAATGCTTTGCACGTTTTAACCTAGCATTCTCCCGACCAAAGAGACTGTTACTATATCACGTGATTCGGGGCAAGCCTTATGCTAGCAACCCCCAGCTCCGGCATGGTCTGGTGTCTTTGTGCCATTCTCACCCATTGTGAACGATGTATTGGTGCTGAGCGTCTCTTACGTAACTATGCAAGAGCTTGCCCCGAATCATGTGATTAGCAACAGTGTCTTTGGTCTGGAGAATTCACAGTTAAAATGTGCCAAGCATTCTGAGCAAGTCATTGTACCAGACGTTTTTCAGATGTAAATCCCAAAGGGTATAGGTTACACGCAAATGGCTTATTAGCCAAATGATACACATATGTAGTCTAATTACAAAGAAAAAACAGAATCTGATGGCCACTAAGAACTGGATGTGTGAAAGATAATCACAAATCTTGGAGGCCATTTTATTTGCTCTTTCTCATTTCCCCCCCCCCCCCCCCCCCAAAAAATCACATTCCAGTTGTCATGAAAACGAACTAACAAAATAAGCCATCTGGTACCATGACCTGCTCGAATGCTTGGTGTATTTTAACTCTGAATTCTCTAGGCCAAAAAGACTAACTTTATCACGTGAATCGGGGCAAGTCTTACACTAGCAACCCCCAGCTCCGGCATGGTCTGGTGTCTTTGTGCCATTCTCACCCATTGTGAGCAACGTATTGGTGCTGAGCATCTTTTATGTAACTATGCAAGAGCTTGCCCCAAATCATGTGATATAGCAACAGTGTCTTTGGTCTGGAGAATTCAAAGCTAAAACGTACCAAGCATAAGAGCAAGTCAGTGTACCAGATGTTAAAAATTCACTCGCAAAGGGTATAGGTTATTCGCAAATGGCTTATTCCACTATTTACGCTATTCTCATTCCTGGATGTATGCTGTTTGGAGTTGAAAGGCTTTTAAAGTTCAAACTTGCTTTCTACTGCCTTAAAAAGTTGAAGATTTCATTTTAATCTTAAAGACTGTAATCGGTAAGGCTGGTTTATATCTGTGGTCAAAATGCAGTGAATTTCATGATATCGACAACTGTACTAACATTGTGATGCTTTCGTTTTCACTCTTAATTCGGGTTAAATATGTGACCTGCCACCAAAAAAACCAAAACATAAGGGCTGACTTTTTAAGAATTGAGATGTTTTTATTTCTATATCCAGCAGAACAAGAGTTTTCTAATGGTATGTAACATTGGGGGTACTGAAATTGGTAACAGAAATATAGACAGCCAACTAAATTGAAGTTGTTAACATATTTTTTGAGAAAATGGCATTGAAAAATCCCCCAGTTGTATTACAGTGAATGAACAGGAAATTTAAAAAATGGGAAAGAAAAAAATGGGAATGATAGAAAAGGACTTGCAGATTTTCACCTGAAAACAAAAATCAACTGTCCATTCCAACTTAAGGCTCATATTGTGAGTGACAGGTCAAATATATCATCCTGGCTTAAAGAAAATCACAGCTCTCAGTACAAGTGTTTATTTCACCAACAGAGAATCCAAACAACACAGCATAATTCCAAGGAGCTGTTCCAGTTTTACGATCATTTCCCAGTTGATTTCTGTTTCTTAGTCTTACTCATCTTCTGATCCTTCTCATACTGCTCTCGTCTGTTGGTCAGCTTCCGAACCTTCAAAGAGACAAAACAATGAAGTATTATGAGCATTTATTCTAAGAATCCTCCCAAATCTACCAAAATCCAACGCTGTGCAGTGAAGGAAAGGCAAATTCAAGCCCCTTGTCAAGTAGTATTGGTTTGGCTGTACAACACTTCACAACCTTTCAAGTTTTGCACAACCACTTTTGCCCATAGAGGTAGCACCCACACTTCAAATTCCTTAGAGAAGATGAAGTATGGATAACACTTCAAATTCCTGCACAATTCTTTTGTGTGGTTAAAGCTCAGGGCAAGCAGTGTTTTTTTGTGTGCAGTGACTCTCTGTGTGACACAGTTTCATATCACTTCACTTGAAACTGACATGCAGGGTTTTACAGCATTTTACATATGGTTACTACATTCCCGCTAGGAGGGTTAACCATCATAATCAATTCAACCAGGTTTCCGTGCTGGCATTTTTTATTGAGAGGGTGTTACAGGGTTGATTTTTTTTCCAGAGTGCAGTTGAATTTTGTGAATCTAAGTTTGGTGGCAATCCAACAAGGAAAGTTGTGCTTTGTACTATGGCTATGATCATCATGGTCAGGGGGATGTATCATTCCATTGGCCAAATGAAATGTCCTTGGGCAAGACACTTTACAAAGACTGCCTTCGTTTTACCATAAATGCTTATGGTTCTTGTAACAATAGACTGTTTGCAGTGAGCCCGTAGCAGGGCGATTGATAATAATCATAGTTTTCAGGGCCCAAGTTTATGGAGCTCCCCAGCACAGCAACTTGCTAAGAACAGAAAAAAATGCTTAGCAAGGATTGTTTACCAGCCAAGAAGACATGCAATTTATATTGATTGTGACTGGTACTCGGCTGATCGCAGCTTAGCACATAAAATTGCTGAGCAGATTTTGTTCTGCTTCCCTGAAAGTGGACTGTAGTTAACTAGATCCTTGAGAATGGAGCGGAGTTTGGAAGCGATAGAATTTTAAGCTAGTAATCGGTGCCACTGACCTGTTTCTGTTTGGTCTTGCGTTTCTTCATGAGTTTCTGGTACAGCCGTTTGCGTTTCTTGGTCATCATCATTTCTTGCAGGGATCGCTCCATCCTGGCTTCCTTCTCGGCTTCATAGATGACGTTGACTGGCTGCACCTGACCGGCCTCCACAGACAACCTGGAGGATTCGGCCGTCTGAACATCAGGAGAAATCACATCAAAATCAGTCAAAATCAATAACAAAATGTTAATACAGAGGAACACCGCTATAACAAACATCGTGGGATCCACAGAAAGTGTTCGTAATAACGATCCTTCGGTATAGCTATTTTGAACCGCCGGTACCCTCTTTTGACCAATAAAGAACTGGCATTTCTCACATCCTGCGGTCGCACAAGGAGTCGTCAGGAAACTTTAGCTACGGGTGGTTTTCCCTTTTATTCCTTGGGGAAATAATAGCCATCTATCGCTCTTGAACCTTCAAACACGATGTAACCATGGGTGGTTAGATGTTCGGGAATTAAAAGTGGCCCAAATAGTGTTTAATACATGTTAAGCTGTTGACTTTTTCAACAACAATGTTCGGTACGTTTTGTACATTAAAACCGGGAGCCAAGCATGATGTTCGGTATAGCCGAATGTTCGGTATAGCGGTGTTCGGTATAGCGGCGTTCCACTGTAGGGTCAAGACTATTGAACCTGAGGCAAATTGAGCAAAGTATAATTCCAACATCAAACCAAAGACTACAAAAGCAACAGTTGCCGTTCTGAACTGAATTGAGCCCCGATGTAATGTTTATGTCTGTCAGATCCAAAGGTACTATCTAATGACGTACATGTAACTAAAGCTCCGTATGTATATTTGCAGCAATCCTTCCCGACTCCTCCAAAATCCACAACTGCCAAGGAACCTAATGCTACCTCTACTAGCATGAACACTTCTGCTAAATCCCCTCTTAACACCTTGTGGACTTGGAAGGATCACGGAGGGTGAGGGGAAATAGTCTCACCAAGATGAGCATCTAAAGTATTTCAGACTTTAAAAGTATACTAGAGTCCAGGGTTAAATCTAGGCTGTGGCCAGTGTTCAGGTCTAGTCTGGATTCAACCCATTTTCTAGTTTTAGATTCACTTAGAAAAAGTCTGCGTTTTTGCTGTTATTACCCGAGACCCTGATCGAAAGTTTACATCAATACCGGTGGCAAGTAAAGCAGTGTTGCAGTCGAAGTCATCACAAATCCTCCACTTTCAAATCAATTCACAAGCTATTCAGACGATCTGAGTCAAAAGTGGAACAAACTTTCTGACCACTCCTTTGTTGTTCATCACCTACTACTTGTGAATGGACTTGTGATTAACTTTCTACTGGACCTGTCAACCGCCTCAAACAAGTTCAGCGGGCGGCTGCACAATTTGTCTTCAGTGACTTCCGGAGACACATCTGTGTCTGGCTTGATTAGCACCTTGGGTTGGGAGCAGCTCCACACTAGACGTCTGGTCTCACAACTAACCATGTTTTATAAGATTCATCATGAGCTGGTTAACATAGAGTTCCCACCCATCATTCAACCAGCGCCATTATAGGAAGACATGACCACCAGTTGAAGTTCACCATACCAGATGCATCCATAGATCCGTACAATTACTCCTACCCACAATCCATCCGATTATGGAACCAGCTACCAACAACCGCTGTGCTGTCACCATCCATAACCAGTTTCCAGGAAGCCGCCCTTCTAGCTATCAGAGGAATGAGGCTTCCTGTAGGCTCACATCTCCTCTAGTTCATCACAAGTAGTATGTTTTTAATGCACCCTAAGTTCATCGTTCATTGTCTTCGTCGTCCTGCACTGTTTGGTGACCACCTATTTTCTTTCACTTTAATTATGCACTTTGCCTGTGACGTCACTTCTGCACCATCCTAGTATAGCTGACTAGCTGAATAAGGATTTCACCACTCAAGACTCAAGACTTGTGGCGGACTGGACTTAAACACAGTTGTTTAGCTACAGTGTGATTATAAAAAGTTTGGGCTGCAGCTAAGACTCAAATCAACTCTAGACTTGAGCCAGCTTTTCCAGTTATACACCCAAGTAGACTTCACGTCTGTGTTTTTGCTCTCATTACCTAGGACTCGGACCTGCAACGAACTACATCAGTGATAACTAAGTTAGCTAGAGTGTGGTCTTGTTACCTTTTGTTTCTTGTCATGTTTTTGCTCCTTGCGGTCTTGTTTCTTCGCAAGCTGACTCAAGTGTTTCTCTTCAGCCTCAGCAAGATGAGATTCTTCTTCGTCTTCGCTAACCTCCTTGTCATCATCGTCGTCTTCATCATCATTGTCATCGTCTTCTTCGGTATTCTTCCCTGTTGAAAGCAAATATTGTTTAAACTTCACACTTTGTTTAAGGCATACATGTACATAGTTTTATTTGCATTTATCCCAAAAGTAACCTACCAAATTATTGTCTAAAAGCTTACTTGGGTCAAAGATCGTACCGGTACTAAATACCTGTGAAATTATTCCGTCTGGCTCGCTGTCATTTAGGAGAAATTAAGAAATGTAGGTGATTTCCAACGATCAGTCAACTGACTGATTTTGGAATAAAGAGTTCAACTGACAAAATCGTGTTTCGTGATCAAAATATTGTGCATGGTTTTTTTAAAAAACTGTTTTCTCAAAAAGTGTAATTTCCACTGAGCTGAAAGTTAAACAGCTTAGGTTTTAAACACTCTTCTTTGGATTTTGAGTGGTGTTATGACTGGAAACAAACAAAATACTTGAAAAGCAAATGATTCTAAATGCCTTTCACTTGGTAATGACCAACCTCGCATTACATTGTGAAGAGGATTGTAAAGCACAAATGGTAGGTGTACAAAAACCGCTTTGAGTCACCCGATACAACTGCTTTCCTTAGAAATTTCAATGAAGGCATTTACAGATTTGTGTACTAAGTTAATTGAAATCATCTTACTAGCTTATTCAGAAAACGAAATTTGTAAGGTGGGCGGTGAACCCACATACTTGAAAATGCAAGTACAGCTGTTAAATCTCCCCCAACAAAAAATTACAAAATCAAAACAAAAACTTCCATCAACCAAACAGCTTCATCGGCTTTATCATATCAAACAACTAAATGTTCATTTTTGGATGTGAACCCACAAACATGTAAATGCAAGTCAAGCTGCTCTACCACTTACCTGTCTGGATGCCCATCTGTCGGTCTAGCAGTGTCTGCTTCTCTGGAGGTATGTAATCACCCTCTTTCTCCTGAACGAACGGGGAGAGATGAGGAGGTAGAACCACCCCAGGGAAGTATTCCTCGACTGGCAGGAGGAGACGGGCATTGACGCTGTCAATCACCCACTGGGGTTGTATGTAGTATCTGAGGAATAAAACAAGTAGGAATAATGATGAATACGCCCTTGGCGGGATGGGAACCATATACCACTAAAGTGCAAGTACAGCTGCTCAACCACACACTTTCAAGTAACAGCAAATGAACCCCAAGCCCTATAGATTTTGAATGAGAACCTTCTGGAATACTAATCTCTAACACAGCCAGTAACACAATTATTATTGGCTTTTGCTCTTGAACTCTGTAACTTTAAGCACTGTGAATTCAGTAGTGTACATGTATGAAAGCCTGTCAGAAACGTTTCACACGTACATAAACATATCAACATCAGTCACAGTAACACGCTGAGAATCATTTTATAACTCACAAGTTATATAAATTGCGTGCGTGACATTTTGGCTCCGACCCCCTTTCAAAATCTATTCATAAATACCTAAGACAGTTTACGCATTCCTATTGGTCGAGAGCCCGTCACGTGGCCGGTCTTAAACGGATGATAAAGACATGGCTAGCTGGTCTTAAACACTTTTCCAGTGTCACAATAAAATGTGGACTCCTAAAAATCCAGTGCCTCTTATCATTTCATTGGTTGAACGTTCACAATCCTCACGTAGGCATGCGCAACACTACCAGCGAGTCAGAATTTTATAGTTCTAAATTCAAAACGCAAAGCGCCAGGTGCGTTCTGCGCGACATCGCGCAGAACATAAAAGGGTTGTTTACATCCTACTCGCCAGCTGAACACTCCATTATTTTGCAAGAGGGATGTTTCAAAAGCATAAAGTGAATTTGTTGAACAAAATCGGGATGTTTTGAATGAATTATATGATTTTTTTTTACCGAAAAGGTATTTATGAATGGTAATAAATATGTGCTCCGTCGGTATTTATCACTCTGTTTAAGACCACTTAGATTCTGGGTGCTGATATCAGCACCCAGACTCTAAGTGGTCTTAAACAGAGTGATAAAAACCTCCGGAGCACACATTTATTCCCTTATTAAAAGTAACATTATTTCATTTAAGTTGGGGTAGTTTAGAATAAGCTACAAAACATTCTTGTTATGACGCTTCCTGAATCCCACAAAATCCTTCACCATCATTCTTTTCAAGCCCCAACTACAGTAACAGATTGACTGGGCTCTACCTTTCTCAATCCTGCAAAATACCTCAATAACTTCTGGCAGACATGAACATCATGAGGGATAATAACTATGATGTTGCTGGCTTACCTTGAGAGATACTCCTTGCGTTGCTGCGGTCTATCCACAATCTGATGTGTGATGCTTTCATCCTTGACATCGTATGTCGCTCCAATGAACATTGTCTTGTCCCATGAGACCTGACCACCAAAACATCTACAAAGCCAAATTCAAGGGTTACTTGTAATTGCCTAAAAAACTTATACAAGAGTTCATTAAGCATAGTTGTATTTGAAACCCAAAAGCACAATATCCCTAACCCTCCAGGGTATGTTTTCTAGAACCCTGCCAAACGTAGCAACATGCAACACTTGACTAAGTGACAAGCCTGCCAAATGTAGCAAGATCCATCAGGGGGAAAGTCTCATGGCAGCACTGCCTCAGAGTCCGTGGTCACTGAATGCAGCAGGATACGACTCTGGCATTGTTCAATGGGACTTAGCTCTCATTGTTTCAGAGCTGGCCATTCATGCACTGGTGTTGGTAGCTGAATGCATCAAAGTGCACCAGTTCTTTTCCACCCGATGCATCGTTTTGCGTTTGGCAGGGTTAGGGATATTGTATCTAGCTTGTCACATATACTGTGTAAGCATATGCATACCCACCTGGGCACTACTTTTAGCCAAACGGCAGGGACCCTGACACCACGTGTTAGACTTGTGATTATTTGTGGCTTGCATCCATATCAATGCCTGGTGCCTTTGTTTGAAAGTTGTGTAGACAAACAACATATGGGATATGCAACAACAAACTTATAGACTCCTTGCACAAGTACCCCCTCAATGGTTACAAAGGGAGAGTTGGGGGAGACCACTGGGAGGGACTTGATAGACCTTTATCATGCTGCCACCATTTCAGTCATGTTCCCTGTATCCAATAACAGTACTGAACGATACTGTTTTTGTGCAAAAAGGAACCAGACTATTTTTCCTTCCAGCCTCGCTTTGGTTACGTTGATTTGAATGGGAAAAAAATCAAGATGGCCGCCACACAATAATGGTCTATTGGGCGTACATTGCCACCATATACGCGGCACTCGCATGAAGATAACAATAAAATTCTAAGATTTGTTTCTCACCGTATGACAAATGTTAGCATTTCTCTGGGCACTTCTCGTGACAGGAAGAACTTGCATCCTTCAAACAATGTCTTGAACTTGGCTTCCTTGTCTTGCTCTGCTCTGGCTTCTTGCACCGCCTCACTGTCCAGGCTCTGCCAGACAAACAAAAAGTCTAAGTCAACGAAAGTCCTGAGGGTTTACAAAACTAACGGAACACTTCACAACAATGGTATGATTTTGTTTTCAGAAATATTACATTGGATAAAAATCTATTTGGTTAAGACCAGAATTTTTCATTTTGACAACTATTTTATTTTGAAGTCTTAAGCCACCCTCAGGTCGAGTTTGCGATGACACAGATCAGTTGGCGACTGACTTTTCAGGATGAATCTATGCCTGAGCCACGACCGTCGGAAAAAAAATTAGTTGCGGCCCGAGTGTAATTGCGACGACATCAAGACGATCAGAATCAGTTGGCGCTCAAATAAATCAACAATTGCAAGGGTAGGAACATTTCAACTTTTACGACGTGTTCCCGACAGGCGGGAATCAATCAATCGGAATTGGATTAGTGGTCTTAAACATCACTGACTAGTGTTTAAACGGCGGCTTAAGACCACCCACATAATGGGATCTCGATTATTAGGAATGGGTAGATTGTCTCAGGTTTTTACAAATCTTTGTTTAAAATCATAATCACCACATGACTAACCACATAACAACAACATGACAGCTTGCTAATGCCGATTCAGATCAGATAAACTTACCCCACCAGCCATCAGTTCTTCATCCTGCAAGTTGACCTCTTCGTCTTCCTCTTCTGTGATTGGTTCCTTGCTGACCTTTGCCAGGTCATGGGTCAAGGCCGCGACCCTTTCCTCTTCTTCCTCTTTGTCCATGCAGAAATTACTCTCATTCTCCAGCTGTGTCGATGTGCGGGATTTCTCCGTCAATGAAAGCTGTCAATAACAACCACGATACAAAACTTGAGAATTACCCAAAATAACAAATATGGAGATTGATATTGATATTTTATAGAATTTAACCCACAAGTCCATGTCTAGATCTTTTCGTTGTGATGGAGACACCATTACAGATTAGTGGAAATCTTCCTAAAATGTACATGTACCAGACACACACTGAAGAGCAGCGTGGCTATGATGTTTGACTCGTTTGGAATGCTGCGATGGTTTGAACCCGGCCGTGGGGAACATGGTGTTTGTGTTCTTAGGCAAGACAATTTACCTCAATTCCCTCTCTCAACCCAGCAGTATAAATGAGCACTTATGAGGATATAGAACAGGTTGCACTGATCCCAAGCTAATGCACGAAACTAGTGTCATGACATGATGAGCTGGGGTAATAATTGTGAAGTGCTTTGAGACATTTGTATAAAGTGATAAGCATTACATACATGTATTTGATTATTAATGCCATAATTACAGAAGTACCAATACAGAACACCAGCCAGCAAAGTTCCTAATGTACTAGCCTAAAAACAACGCATCATAAGTACAAGCCAATGAATACATAATAACCCAAAGACACAGCTGGTCCTCAGCATTAGTCTCAATTTATATTTGCAGTGCAGAAATAATGGCAAATAGGAATAAAAAGAAAACATCACTGTCACTGGTCTTAGAGGGGCCAGCCTATAATCCTCTCTGTATCTAAGGCCACGTCCGAATTATTCGACTACGGCTGAAAATTACACACGTGGCTATGGAAGCGGCTGCAGCCACTTCACATAGACTTGTGTGTTATTTCTAGCCATAGCCAAGTAATTAGGACGTGACATGACTAACTGACTGACTGTCACTGGTAAATTAGACTTGTACAAGTCTCACCTTGGCCCGAACAATTGAAGTTGCTGGTCCCAGAGGGCCAGCCTACAGTCTTCTATGTACCTATCTCATGACTGAGTGACTGACTGACTCTCCGACTGTCACTTGTGAATTAGACTTTAGCCTCACCTTGGCCAAAAATTTGACTCAAATGACTACCTTTTCAAACCTCTTACACCAAATTAGTCCGAGACCAGCTTTACTGGGCCCAATTTCATGGCTCTGCTAACCACAGAATTCCGCGTTTACGATCACCATTCTGTGCTAATACTGCTAGCATACAAATTCTGTGCTAGCCCTGTAAGCACAGAATCCTTAGTTATGAGATGTGCGCATGTGCAAAAGTGAAACTTCCTGGTTAATTTGTGAAATACGCTTACCGTAAGCACACAACTTTCTGCTACAGTAAGCTGGGATTTTTTTATAACGGTAAGCAGAGCCAAGATATTGGGCCCTGGGCCCAATTTCATAGCGCTGCTTAACAGTTAGCAGAAATGTTGTGCTTACTACATGTATAGCACAAAAACATGCTGCTTAAGCACTATTTCATGGCATGGATGTGCTAACGGTTGCGCGGGCATGGAGATTTCTATTGTGATGTCACTGATTTAAGCAATTTTTCCTCTATGATTAAGCATGCTTTCGCTGTGTTTACTGCCTAACAGTCTCTATGAAATAGATGGAGGCTCGGTAAGCACAAAGTCAGCTGTTAAGCAGCGCTATGAAATTGGGTCCAGGTCTTGCCTAGTCTTTGTTATGAAGTTATTTGAAATACCTTTGGAGGATAGTGCAGGTTGATGGAAGCATAGAGTCTGAAATTGATGAAGCCAAGCAGGTTGCTGTAGAACTCCACAAATGTGGACATGATTCTCAGATCAATGTCTCTCGGCCGCTGCAAATAGAAAATAAAACAAAATCTTTGTATTAAAATCGCATGGTACTACATAGACTGCTTGCACGGTGCCCTCTCACTGAGGGCAGTGTTTGTTGTTTAAATGTAGCAACAATAAAAGTACAAAGTGTCTACTCATGCGTTTCACACAGGAACAAAAACCTGTTCTTAAAGGGAATATACATCATTTGCTTTTGCTGTAATTTTCAGAAATGGATGGAATTGGGGGGTTGGAAATATATAGCAAATATAGTTACACTGACTTTTTTGAGGTTTTGGGTTCGAAAATGCTATAAAAACCAAGAAAAACAATCATTTTCCTGTAGTCTGGTTCCCTGACTCCATTTAAGAAGAAACAGAGCAGTTTACATATATTGGGGAATTGTAAGGTCAGGGAACCAGTCTAGCTGGCTTGTACCCGTTCATAGGTGTGTAATCGATTGCAAACAAGTGCGATGGTCAACTGGGGCCAGTATTTGAAAAAAGCCAGTTTTTTCCAACGCTGATCGGCCGATCAGCGTTGGAAATTGATACAAAAATACCCCTTTTCTTGAAAATGACAGTATACCAGGTGCCATGATTTTACAGGATGCTTTACACTGTCATTCACTAACAGTCCAGCAAGGTATTTCAAAATGATTTGGTAGTTTTATTTTTTGATGTTTGCAAATGTTGTATTTTCCCTTTAAATGTCAAGTTAGATGCAAGGGGTCTAATATTTCATGAATGTTGTTATTAACCCTTCTAGTCTTCTGCACTTCACAACCCTTCATGTTTTGCAAAACCATGATTGCCAGTAGAGTCAGCACCCATTTCAAATTCCTTTGAGGTAATCTGCGGAGTATGGATAACACTTCAAATCCCTGCACAATTCTTTTGTGTGGTTAAGCTCAGGGCACGCAGGCAGATTCAGTCACGCTTCACTGCTCTCCTCAGTGTTGTTTTTTTGTGTGCAGTGACTCTCTTGTGTGACACGGTTACTGTAACACTTCATATCCCTTCACCTGAAACTGACCTGTGGACTTTTGAAGGGTTTTACATATTGCTTTGAATATTGACCTCTCACTGGAGAGTTAATCGCAAGTACTCAGTGCCAGACGCAATCAAACCAGTATGTTTAAGCAGTGTGTCCAGCACACCGAGCTCTTACACAAGAAGACCCAAAGCACCACCTACTGGTTATGCATGGAATCCATACTGCAAACCATGGTATGGAATTTGATTAAGTCACGGTGGTTAGAGTTGATGTTTTCACAGCTGACACGTTTACGTTATTGGCATACCATAAGATCAATATCGCAGGGTGACCAAGATCATCCAAAGCTTGAAAAACAAAACTTATACAGAAAGATTGATGAAGTTGAACATGTACGAATTTGGAAGCAAGACGACGAGGTGACCTGATTGAGGTTTATAAAATCCTAAACGGCTTGGAAGGCATTGAGGAGAGCAAGCTCTTCTAGAGACACGAAAACCCATTCCAAGTCAGAGGTCACAACCTAAAGCTCTACAAACCAGGATTAAAGAAAGGGTTGAACTGCAGAAAAAAACTTCTTGTCCATCCGAGTTATTTCTGAATGGAACAACCTCCCATCACGTGGTGAATGCAGCCTCAACAAACCTGTTTAAGAACCATGATGCCTATTAGAAAGAAATGGGATATGGGGTCAAAGGCTTAGCCTATTCAATCCCCATCAACCTAAGTGTGTAAGTTAGTAAAAGTGACTCAGTGCATGAACAGAAGTTGACGCTTGGTGGCCACCTTTAAACCCCAGTGAGAGGAACACGCCGCATATGTGCACTCGTTCTCATGCATATGGGAGTGGGACAATATATTAGAGTACGCATTACTTGTTATATTCAGAATGATCACAAAACCTATGGCATCTCTGCATGACAGTGGCGGATCTACAGAGGAGTTTAGGTCTAACCCCCCTCCCCTTGTGCCGCAGGGAAAATCATGCAGAAAAACCACATCAATCTCTGTCTTGTCTTACCGAGTAGTTGAAGCTGTAGGGTACGATCCATGTTACGGTTTGTCCTTGAATCTCCCCTTGGTAGTAGATACCTTTGATTGACAAAAACACCTGCAGGAAAATGCAAAACAAAAGCATTTTATTCCTCAGTCATTAAATTCTTTTTATGTTTCACAATCAACCAGAAAATTGCAGTGTTGCTAATGTTGCTAGCATCGCGACTTTGGGCATGGTCCCTGGCTACATGGCATACATACGGGTTTATGGCTTCTGACTAGCACCCCTTGAGCAAAGAGGCTGGATAGTTCAGTTGGTAGAGAAGCGGAAGTGGTATTCCGGAGGCTACAAGTTCAAATATTTCTGCAATCGATTTCTTGTTCAACCTTACATCGATTCAAACCAGAAATTAATAGACTCCATTCAAATGAGCTGAGCCTTTTTGTAAATCTCACAAAATTCAAACCCAAAACAAACGTGTGAAGCCATTTGAAGGCAACTTTTAGACAAACCTTTCTGAGTGCTCTAGAAGCGATGACAAAATTCATAAATTCCACCATCAGCCGACTGCACAGTGGAATCAGTTTGCTTTCCAGTTTGGCGTTCTTCCTCATAGCAGCAAACGTAGCGCACATTGTCAGCGGATCGTCCAGATCGCGCAAGGCATCCACAAAGGTTGGATATCTGATTGATAAAAAGTGGCAAATGAGCAATAAATCCTCCGTCAGTGTCAGTTTCACTGCTACACTCTCTGGCACAGCAAGACACCAAAGCCATGGGAAACTGTGGTGTGCAGTTGCTCAGTCAGGGAGTGTGGCCTACTGGTTAGGGTTCATGACTTATGATTAGAGGTCAGGGATTTGAATCCAGCTGCTGGTCGGATGTTGTGTCCCTGGGCAAGTGACTTTATTTTACCACCACTTGCCTCTCTCCACCCAGGAGTATAAATGGGTACTGGCATTAGCTGGGGAGTAACCTGCGATGGACTGGTATACCATCCAGGGCGAAAAGAAATAAAGTCAGTCATTTCATGCCAAGGAAACCGGAGATATACACCAGCCTGATGGGTCATATTGGCTTGTGACAGACTTTACTAGTAGCTCAGTCACCATCAAAGGGTAATCTTTGAACTATAAGGTACATTTCCACCTGCTATGATTGCAAAGGTAATTGGCATTTGTGTAATGTGTGGGATTATGAGGTTTGTATGTTTGAAAGAAAAAGTGTGGTGCTATGTAGAACATGAATGAGAACACAGCAATGAGTGGGTAAATTAACATACTATACCTCATACATATTCATGAGCGAGAGCCCAATTTTAACTGGTCAATTAATCATCACACGCCACCTGCTAGTTTTGCTATGTACCAAGCAAACCCACAGGGAATCATGCACAGAGTCAATACGAATGCACAGGCAACAATCACATGGGTTACCAATGCGATTGTCAGCTATACCAGTACATGTGCTTTACTAGCAATCGTGGAATTGATGCATATATCGTTACATTTGTATGACAGTCTTATGGGCAGTGGAGACACATGCGATGCTTAGACACCTAGACAGTCAGATCAACTGACAGATAGACAGTGATAGTCACCTTTCTTTGACGATGTGGTCCACGTTATACACAGGTTTATTATCTTCTAATCTGTCCAACCGGCCCCACTCTCTCTTCTTTTTGGCCGTCTTGACTTTCCTGGCAAAAATCTGAAGAAAACAAAAATCAGAGAATCAGAAAATAAGCAAAGTCATTCATATTCTAGCAAGTCAATAAATGCACTGGAATAAGCAAGACTCTCAAAAGTCAAAAGAGTATTCCAGTTTCTTTTAAATTGCGGACCACGGCACATTTATAATTGGAAGAAGTACTGCTACCAGCATCGTGTACCGAGCTGAGATAAGCTTTTCCCAATCAAGACAGAGTGTGTTCCCAATTAGAGAAAAACAATGTCCTTACTAAAACTTCCAAGCACTTTAAATTATGTGATGGTCACTCAAATATGCAGATCCGAAAACCAAAGATGTTGCTCTGAATAACTCACCTTGTGTGCCCTGAATTTATAGATGATTGGTTCATGGGAGAGAAACAAGATATCCTTGCTGCGATAGAATGTTCTCATCGCCCTCTTGCCTTTGTTAGCTTTAGCTGGATTACTGGGCTGGACCGGATAAACCCCCTTGAGGATGCACAGCCGCCTGTGGGGATAAAGACGAGATCAAGATTAGGATCAGGAATTAATAATAAAAATAATATCAAGTTTTCACACTCAGTCAAATACTTTCTAAATGCTTCCGATGTAAAAGCTAAATTTATACACAATTCTTCACTGTTTTTACAAAGTTTCAGACAGACCTTCAATCTTGTATCAGTCATAAAGATACATTGAGAGATTCCAAAGTTGTTAATTTATTTCATTTTCATAATCTTATGTTGAAGCATTTGATGTTGTATTTCTGCAGGGTTGTTCACACCAAAGCTTGACATTTTGTAGCAATTTGTTCTTTACTTAGCTTACACATTTGTGTAAATTTATAATCTTTTGTTGAAGCAGTAACTGGTGACACTTCAGTGTTTTCCATCACCAAACCAGCTCCATATTTGGTAGAAACTTGGTACATGTAGTTTACACATTAAACATCACTTGCCAATCTGGTATATTTCTTGCAATTTTTAATTCTGTCCTGCTTTACCTGAAATCAACCAACGACAGCTGTAGTTTCTTGACTGCCGACGCCCTGGTGATAAAATTTGTGGCTGTTCCACTTGTAAACTGCAAAATAACACAGGCAATAAAACACATGTACACAAATTTTCATGAGCTCATCTAGGGATGTTATACGCATTAAAGCTACATTTTTTAGGCTATCTAGTTTCTCAAAAATCTCATTGAAATTACAAACATGAAAAATGGCATTCTTCTTTTTTTTTCCATTGACTTACACTGTACTTACATGTAGTTGTTAAAATGTCTGCATGTTGCTTATATTATTTGGTTTGGTGTTTATGTGTTGCATGGTACTTTCTTTGCTATTGTAGCCATTTTGCCCCTGTGTTGCATTGGACTTATACTACTTTTGGCACTCTTAAGGTGCATGTGGTATAATAATTTGATATTTTGAATGCTTTTAAATTGGCTTTTTAAGGTTTTAATTGTTTTCTTCTGGCAAATTAACTTGCATTTTAGTTTAGTTTGCTTCCATGTTTAAGTACATGTCACTGTAGCATTTTAAGTAACTTTTATATTGTTATTTTAAGTACTTTTATTGCCAACGTTTCATAGTTTTTATTGTGAGGCGCTTTGAGGTGTTTTACTATTGTTATCGCGCACTGGATCGACCGATCCAAAAGATGGACAGATTGCGCCCAACATAAATACATATTTTATGAACAACTAGTAGACTAGTACTAGTCATGCTAGTAGTAGTACTAGATGTTATTTTTTTATTCTTTTACTTTCAAGTTTCATGTATTGTAGGGGGTCTATTGTAGGCTACAAAATCCATTTGCTGTCATTGGCTGTGTAAAAACTAAAATATCTCAATTCCACTTTTTCACCTATGGTCCTAAACTACCAAAGCAAATGTCAGTAACTGACATAATGAGAAATCATTAGCATTTATTTGTTTGGGGACTTAAAATTCGTTTGGAAATTTTATTTTAATATGTTTAATTGCCTCCTCGTGTTCCTGTACTTCGTGACTTGCAGTTGCATAGGGCCTACTATTCTTTACACATTTGGTCGCAGATCCTTTCATAAATACAGACACAACACAGAGATGTGACACAAATAACAGACATTTGTTCATCATACATATAAAATGATGTAGGCCAATCGGGTGTCGGACGCTTCGCCCCATTTCCACGTCGCCCCATGTCACTTCGCCCCTAACCACTTCGCCCCATCCCCACTTCGCCCCATCCCCACATCGCCCCATCTCCGCTTCGCCCCATCCCCACTTCGCCCCATCCCCGCTTCGCCCCATCCCCACTTCGCCCCATCCCCACTTCGCCCCATTTAGTATGAAAAAGGTGAAGGCTAGGGGTGCAGACCAAATAAACTGCCAAAGACCCCAGATAATAAATGCTCCCAATTCTAGAAACTTAGGAAAAATACAAACTCTCTGATGAGGTGCTCGAGACACAGATGAGAGAAATGATGGCTCTATCCCATTCAGAGACGCCTCTCCTATTGGCTTGTGAATAAAATCATCAGCCGATGGATTCAAAAGAATCCGTAGGTATGGGTCAGTGAAGGAACTCACTGCCTTGAGGAAAATGTTCCGTTCACTCTCCAAGAGTGAAATTAGGATGTCAAAGGTATTGTCGTTCTCAGATAAGTGGGAGATGGGTTGGTATAGCCGGGTTGGGAACAAAGTTGGATCTTTTACTTCAAGCTTTTTTTCTCGGTAGGGGAGAGCCTATAGCTTGAGAGGTTGGTTATGAATTGTTCATTTGGTGATGGGCTAATTCTTTCCGTTGGTTAGCAATGAGTGAATCTGTTGAAATTGTTTTTTTTTAAGCCAAAAAAATAGATGAGATTTTTTTTTTTACATGTAACGGCTGGGGCGAAGTGGGGATGGGGCGAAGTGGGGATGGGGCGAAGTGGGAATGGGGCGAAGTGGGAATGGGGCGAAGTGGGGATGGGGCGATTTGGGAATGGGGCGAAGTGGGGATGGGGCGAAGTGGTTAGGGGCGAAGTGACATGGGGCGACGTGGAAATGGGGCGAAGTGTCCGACATTCGGCCAATCCTACGCAATACGCAAACACCTGGATTTGTACTGTCCGGATACTGGACAACGTCCTAAAATAAGTTCAGCATTGAAAGTGTCAACTTACCTTCTTTTTTTCTCGTCCCATTTTGACGGTCAAGTTATTACGAAACCTCTTGCAAAAGGTTACCGTATATTTGTGCTTAAAATCTGTTTAAAAATGATAAATAAATTCGACAGGACAGACATCAGCAACGCAATGAAAATGAAGTTGCCCAACTTTTTTTTTTTTTTTACACGTGCGTGGAAAGAAGTAGGACGCCCCCAAGAGGCGGAACTTGCACTTGATTTAGTCTGGCAACCATGATGTCATTGAGAAAATGTTCGAAGTTCTCTCAAGGACGTCTAGGTGGTATCGAGCTGATTTTTGTGCGCACAAAATACGTGAGCTGTAGCTGTTCGTTTAATTTTTGTAATTATTGCCAAAAGCAGGCCCTTTTCGTCGCTGAAAGGTAGATAGATTGCGAACTGTTGTGTATGGTATTGTCCAACAGGTGAAAAAGGTTTAATTGTCATTATTTCACATGCTCAATTTATAAATTTTATGATCGGAAGTGATTGTAGTTTTTGGTTTGTTGTGCACTTCAGTCAGAGGATAGGGTGGGGGGGGGGGGCGCTACTACCACGTGTATAGTTTAATTTTTCGAAGTGGCTATCGTTACGGCATTCGTTGTTTAGCGCCCTCAACGATACTTGGGAAAAAATTCCGTACTCGGACGTCACTTTTTCAATTAATTTTCTAGCGCCAAAAGTTACATCTTTTATGGTTATTCCTCCACTTTCCCTCCTCTACTCTCACCCTCTCCTTTCCTTAATTTCTATTTATTATTTTAATTAATCAGTCAGTTACTTCATCGGGATTCGAACCTCTGACGCTTGCTTGATACACGAGACTCTTAACCGCTAGGCCGCGCACGATCGCTGTTGCAAAAATCAATCTTTGGACGTATTTGAAGTATCCATTGAAATAAACTAAATATTCATGAGAAAATAAATATTCATAATGACGTATTGCACTATCATTGGCAGGCTCATGCGACGTCATGGTTGTTGATGTCACGTGTATAACGTGCCGCTGTCTTTTCAGCCACTACAATCAGTTTTGACCGGCTGCTTCAAGTTATTTCTGCACGACGTATGCATCCAAAATGTGCTCTAAAAACACATTTTGAGTAAATTTTTTTCACCTTTACACAGCTTTCTGGATTTCTCTTGGTTCAAACGACAAGGTGAGGTGACAATTAATATGTTTGGCAGCAGACAAATTGACATCCGAGTATGGAACTTTTCCCGATACTTTTTTTATACGCACGCAGGTATATAATTATTTGTTTTCCCATGTTTTGGTGAGCAGTGCGACAGCTCAGTCGATATTAGTGGGTAGGATTTTGCACTGCGAGGTTGCGGGTTCGCATCTCAGTTTTGCACTCGAATTTTTTTCCTTTTCTAACCTGAGGCTTTGGAGGATTTTTTTTAAAAGGGAAATAAAGTTTGAATTTCATAACGTTCAAATTCACTTTTTTCCTTCTAATTAATTTTTTTCTTCGCATGTTTTTATAAAAGTTGCAGTACTACCGTAACAATAGAAAATGGGAAATGCGTTACAGCTGCCGTAACAATAGCCACTGCGTTAATTTTTCAGTTGTCACTTTTACTCTCATTAATTTATTAAATAAGTGGATCTTATTCTTTGAAATCTGTGGGTTTTGAGGATTTTTTTAAAAAGGAAAATAAAGTCTCAGAAGTAAGAACCATTTGGTTGAATGATTGATGGACTGGTTCCAACAGCCAAAGATCGTTATGTTGAATATTACGTCAGGGAACCAGACAGTTCCGTAACAATAGCAGTTGAAAGTACCGTTAGGGCTTCCATAACGATAGCCATGGCAAATAACTAAACTGTGGTGGGCGGAGGTTCAATAAAATAAATGGTCATTGGCATTGGCAAAATGTCTTTTCCCAGACAATTGCAAAATGATAGACCTTCAAATTGGTGAGAAACAGATCTCAAAAAAAGTGTGGTTGGAGTTGAATTATTTTTTGGTTAATTGCGTGATCCAGAACTGTCGATGATCCGGAACTGTCGCACTGACTGTACTAGTATTTCTTGTTCCAGAAAATGGTTTCATTCAATGAAAGCTTTTGAATTGGAAGAAGTTGGCTATTTGACAACATTTGTTTGATGTAAATGATATTTAAATGTTCGCTTCAGGTAGCTCGGAATAACAAGCTCTCTAGGGCTCATGACATGGGAGATTTAGTGGTGAATCTCCCATGTCATGAGCTTTGGAGCAGGGTATTCCAAGCTACGCTTCAAATGTTGTTGTTTTTTTCCAAATCATTTTCTAGTCCAGTGAATGAATAATCCAACTAAATTAGACAATTAAGTTGAAACCCCCCCCCCTTTATTCATCAAAAGGAAATTGTGTGAAGAAATACATCCATTGTCTTTTCTAAATACTATTTGGATTTTTTTTTGCAGTCTTAGATGTTGCTTCCTTTGAGGAAGCTAATTCCCTGATGTCTGACAAAGCAGATGATGAGAACTCTTCCTTGGACACTCTGCTGGGCAAGTATGGAAGCAGCAAGGCATCCATCCAGCTGGCTCAGCACGGAGAATCCCCCACAGATGACTACGAGGAACAAGGGAATAGAGAGGAGTATACCAGTCAGTTCTTGAGAGAGATCAAAGAGCGGGCTCAAGTGAGTGCTGAAGGTCCTTGGGAAGGGGTTTGGCGGGGGGGGGGGGGGGGGGGGGGGGGCTAGTAAAGCATGTGACCATACATTTAGAAAACTGCTGGAAACAATACTAAATCCATGTTGGAGAATGTACATTTTGTGTTTTTAATTTTACATTTTTTGGTATTGTGCTCCACCCTACATTTGTATGTCTCTTATTGTTAGTCTTGGGAAAATTTTTTGTGGCAATTAACTTCAAGATGGGTGCTTGTAGCAATTTTCCTCTTCACTGATAAATGTTCAAATTTAATTACACTTGTATCTTTTGATTAGATTCTGAGTCGTAATGCTGCAAAGACCCGCAAGGCAGCTCTGCAACATGTGGTCAGCGAGGATAGTCACAAGACCAAGGCAGCTGCAGGTGCTACATCATTGGTGAGTTATTACATGTATCATTGTTGAAGTCTAGTCCATCACAGGTCCGTCACAGGTCCGTCACAAGTCCGTCACAAGTCCGTCACAAGTCCGTCACAAGTCCATCACAAGTCCATCACAAGTCCATTACAAGTCCATCAAAAGGCCATTACAAGTCCATCACAAGTCCATCACAAGTCCATCACAAGTCCATCACAAGTCCATCACAAGTCCATCACAGGTCCATTACAAGTCCATCGCAAGTCCATCACAAGTCCATCACAAGTCCATCACAAGTCCATCACAACTCCATCACAAGTCCCTCACAAATCCATCAAAAGTCCATCCCAAGCCCATCCTAAGTCCATCACAAGTCCCTCACAAATCCATCACAAGTCCATCCCAAGTCCATCACAAGTCCATCACAAGTCCGTCACGATTAACCTATCGCGGTAGAATCGCGTCAACGCAGCTTGTGAAATATTATCCAATTACATAATACACAAATGGACGCGGAATGCGCAAAGTCTGAGACAAATCAAACTTAACGTCTAAGGGGCATGGCTAACTCGCAAACGACGATAGGTCAATTCCATCACAAGTCCATCACAAGTGATGAACATCTGTTACTTGCAACTGTAACAGGAGAATGCTGTTGTCAGGTCATTTGAATTGCCAAAATCAATCTCCTTGATATGCTCCAATTTAATGGATATTTGACTGAAGATTTCAGCCACAAATAATTTACACAAGGGTCAGTGTCCAAACCTGGTAGTAAAAGTATGAATATTCCATTTTGTTTTCTGCACAGATTTGGTAAGGCTCCTGGTAAATTGTCCAGGGGTTGGAGTTAATCCAAAGTTAGATAATCAATGTTATAGTCAATCTTTTATCTTTTTCATTTCTTTGCAGGACTTGTTCATGGACGTCATCAGGAGGGCTGACATCTCAGATGAAAGCCAAACCGAAGCTCCAACTCCTCCAACTAGTGATGAGAGTCTCACAGTGTATTCCAACGACGATCTTCTCCCACCAGTTATTCCTCTAGACTCCGCCCCTGGACAAGGGAGGAGGAGGACACTCTGAACATTTCCCATGATTATTATGAGGGTCTTCAGATTGCGCCCTGGGGGACATCAACGACAGAGTCTTATGATGATGACAATGACAGCGATGACAGTGACAGTACCAGTGAGGAACTGATTGACAATGACGGCGACGATGGCATTGACGGCGAGGATGTTGATGGGGGCTGTGAAGACAGGAGAAGCTCAGCTCAGGATTCCAAACATTCTAAACCAGACGCAGATATTTCTTCAGATTTCGACCTCGCATCATATGCATCAAGTTTTACAAAGGTGGATGGTGGGAACGAAGAAGGTGAAAGCATAGATCAGGACCCGCAGTATTGGCCTCAAAGTCAAGCTTCGGGTTTAGAAGACTCTGGAGTGATGAGTTATCGGGGTAAAGCTGCAGGTGAAGAATCTGACATTGATGAAGAAAGTAGAGAAGACAAAGATGATGAGGTGCTTGAGGAGGAAGAAAGATTCAATGAAGATGGCTTTGTTGTGACATTGGAGGATGAGTCTTTACCCCTTGATCAAAATTCATCGAATTTTCATACAAATAGTACTGGAAGACTTGAAGATTCCGAGATGGTCACTGAGACAGATGATGAGGCAGTTCCGGCTGCTTTGAGAGGAATTCCGACAGAGCATGGCTTAGTTGATGGTGACAGGCTTGTGATGAGGCAGGATACGGACGATAATACTGAACAAATGAAGGATGATGGTGTTGCTGATGCTGCTGAATTCAACTTTGAGATGGAAGCTTGTCCAACTGGAATACAAGAGCCTGACATTGATGGTGCCTCATCCTTTCAAGGTATTCGCTCTGCCTCACCTGTTGCAGACATCCCATTCACCAGTCCTCTTGAAGATGTTGATCTTGAGATGAGTGGAAGGAAACATGTTGAGGAGATGGAGGGAGAAAGTAAAAGTGATGATGCAACACACGATTTAGCAGAGGATCCTGAGGCTCACACGTTGGCCTCGGTTAAGAAGCCTGACGATTCTACTAGTGACAATGTTGAGTTGCAGGTGTATACATGGAACCGAGGGGAAAATGATAATGCAGCTGAGAATGC